GACCTTGAAGGACTGGTTATTGCCCTCAGATGGCTTGCAACATCGATTCGCAGAATTATTAAAAAAGAAGACAGGAGGTATTCCGTTGATTTTAAAGAATACTTTAGTAGCCCTAGCAGAGAAAGCTGCAAACTTGTCGCAACCTGTTATCAACGATGACAATATGGAAAGTGTGTTAGATGATATTTTTCACTCTGTAGTACGAAAGACAACAACGTTTATTGTTCCGGAGATATTAGATTCTGCAACCCTTCTTCGATATCAATTTGTTCTTTTCAATTATCAGCTCGGGACAGTTTTTCCAATCAACTTTGCAATTACTCTATGTGGAACGACAACTTATTTGATGGATTTGGTTGCAACTTTTGGGTTTTACTCTGAAGTTTTGGGCGAGGAATTCAAGATTGGTTGTTGTGAATTTATATTGCGAGCTCATAGCAACTATAAATTTTTCCGTGAGGCTACTGAACTTTTTCCTTTATCTCCGTTTAGTTATATTCCCGACACTTCAACAGCAAAAGGAGTCTTCTTTGAATTTGTATTTATGAAGATCTTTCGTTTTCGCTTATTAGCTTTTCTTCATTCTAGTTCCTCGCAGATTGTACATTCTGCTATTCCAGGAATTTTCCAGGGTTCTTTTATTGAACAGGACAATGTTTCGTATTCTATAGAATCAACAAAATCTTATGATATACCCATCTTGAGAAATGTCTCTGATTCATTTTCTGATCATTATAGAAAATATTTACAACATTGTGGTATTTTTGTTCCAAAGGAGGGCAATTCGAGTGGTCCTGATGCATATGTTGTATTCCATAATGGACAAACACGTTATGTTGTTGGATTTTCATTCAAATTTTATCACAAAACTGAATTTTCGAAAACAAATATTGAGGAAGAAGCCAAAAATTTTTTTAAGGGAGTTGTTTCCGTTTTGAATGACGAATCTTTTTCATCTGTTCAACTTCGTTTTCAGTTTGTGGTAGTATGTACTAGATATGATCAATCTGTAGGTTTCTCTACCGAAGAACATAATATTGTTGAAGATGCAAGTCGTTTTGTGACTCAACATTCTTCGGGATCAACTTTGAATGAAAGTAGTCGATCATGTCTGCAATTGGTAATTGTTTCTCAAAGGAACCTTGAAATATATTTGGGAAGAGATAATGTCGAAACATTGAGGAAAATTGGGAAAGCAAACCGAGGAGAGTTTTCTAAAAACTTTTCAGTANGGTGTAAAACTGTCTTTGAGTCGATGTCCAATGAATATGTTTCACCTTTGGGAGCAATCAAATGTTACTTCAAGAGTGGCTCGAAATATAAGACCGAGAACCAATGAGGAGAATAGGATGCAAACGGAAGAGCTTCAAAGTGCTATGCAAGTGGAACGAAGTGTCGCAGCATCGAGTTCTTTGTCTTCGTCATTTGATTGGAATACTTTCTTAAGAGACCGTTGTGGTCTTTCTGAAGAGGATGTTGCCTATTGTTTGCCTAAGCTGTCCTTCATAGGAGTAAGAGATTTTGATGGCGTTACGACAGATTTTCTTTCCGATTGTGGTATCGATAATCCTTCACTAAGATTGCGAATTATGTTAGGAATACGACAGTTTTTAGCAAAGTAGCTTTTATGGACTAGTTTGTGGTATGCCCATGATTTCCCTGTAAAAGGTGATGGAAGCCTTATAGAAGTCGTAGTCCTAATAAAGACATGTAATTTTTGTTTTTATCTCACTGCAAAGTCATTACGAGGTTAGTAACTTGAGATATCTTACCAATATGCTCGAATGCCAATGTTAGTTACGCTTCGAGAGAAGAATGACTTTGACAAGGTCTTCTGCTTTAACATTGAAATACCAATCTATATAGAGAACCCTGAAAAGTTATTGATAAACTATTTAAGAGAAGACTATGAACTCGCTGGTATAATGCTAGGTTGTGGTGCCACAAGAATGTCGTGTCCCCTTTTCCATTCTTACCAGTTATCTCCACCACCACCTCGACAGTTACGACGTTGAGAGAGTTGGGAGGAAAGACAAATCAGCAACACTTTTGAAGACGAAAGTACTTTTTCACAAGTCTCTTTGTATACCGTTGACACCGTCTCGCTTCTGCTACCCTCCTCTCCAACAATAGAACGTACCAAATAACAACTCCAAGCAGCCGTTTCTCAGAAATATCATCATCAGTAGTTTCACTATTATCATTTCTACAACTAGTTACGGATTTTCCAACAGAATAACGTAAAGTGCCTTCTAAACGTTCTATTTCTGGTCTTTTTCGAATATTTGCATAGAATTTCACAAATTGTAGCAACAACTTTCTTCAAAAAGTTAAAGGTACACCAAACTCTTAAAATAGTACAAGTCTCCTAAGATCTCCTTCCTGCTCTTTGTTTGCTTGAAAGTAGCCACACTCGGAATAAGATAGAAGAAAGCTTAAACTTGACAAAGAAAACAGCTTGCCAGAGAAGCTTAAGGAAAATATCTCTCTAAAGATAGAATTTCTACACTGAACTATTTCATATGAAGATCAAAAAGACGTTTCACGTAATCCGTTTCACCTGGTCAACGCAGAAGAACATCACAATAAACCAAGGTTCAAACAGCCAAAGCATTGCCTAAAACTCTAACTTCTCAAGTAAGTCTACAGGCATTTATATTCCGAGAGCTTTTACTTTCTCATATTCCTGAAAGTAATAACTTGCAATGAGCTGTGGATTCCCTTCATCTGGGCGGTTGAGATCTGGCGGTTAGATTGTGGCGGTTAGAACCGGAATGAATGGTAATAATGGATATAGAAACATTCGCATCATGCCAAGGTTACAATTTGTGGAATATTGTTCAACAGAATTTGTCTCAGCAACGAAACTATGAACACTACGGAAAGAATACCCAATATTTTTCCTATTGATCCTAATCTGTCACCAACGCAACAGCCAAAGCCTCTACACAATAGATGGCATCCTGATATTCCACCAATTGCACAAGTCAAGGTGAATTCAGTATTTCGGGTGGATATGATTGACTTCACAGGTGGTCAAATTAAGAATGACGATAATGCAGAAGATGTAAAGTCTATTAATATCAATAAGAATCACCATTTGTCTGGTCCTTTTAGTGTATGTGATGAAAACGGTAAACCAGCCAAACCAGGAGACCTTCTCGTTGTTGAATTGTGTGACCTTGGTGCTCTTCCTGGTCATGAATGGGGATATACTGGAATTTTTGATCGAGAAAATGGTGGTGGCTTTCTTACAGACCATTTTCCAAATGCAGCAAAGGCTATTTGGGATCTTGAAGGAGTTTATGCTTCTTCACGTCACATACCAGGAGTACGGTTCGCTGGAAATATTCATCCAGGTCTCATTGGAACTGCTCCCAGTAAAGAACTTTTAGAAATATGGAACGAAAGAGAACGCAAATTGTTAGAGGAAGACATCGAGAAGATGTCACTTGCCGCTGTGTTGCATCATCGTCCTATGGCTATGCTACCGGAACCAAAAGAAGCTCTATTAGGTGCAATAAGCCGGAAGAGTGCGGAATTTCAGCGGATTGCAAAGGAAGCTGCGCGTACCATTCCTGGAAGAGAAAACGGTGGAAATTGTGACATTAAAAACTTGACAAGAGGAAGCAGGATTTATTTGCCAGTATTTGTTGAAGGTGCGAACTTTTCTATGGGCGATCTTCATTTTAGTCAAGGTGATGGCGAAGTGTCTTTCTGTGGTGCAATTGAAATGTCCGGATTTGCGATTATGCGTTGTCAAATTATTCGAAATGGAATGGATAAGTATCTATCTCCTATGGGACCGACAAAGCTACATGTCAATCCTATCTTCGAAGTCAGTCCATTGGAACCAAGATATTCTGAGTTCTTAGTATTTGAAGGTGTGTCAGTGGATGAATATGGAAAACAGTATTATATGGATGCATCAGTGGCGTACAAAAGAGCTGTTCTGAATTGTATCTACTACTTTACTAAATTTGGATATACTCCAGAACAAGTCTATCTTTTGCTGAGTTGTTGCCCGTGCGAAGGAAGAATTTCTGGAATAGTTGATGTTCCCAATGCATGTGCTACTTTGGCTGTTCCTACAGCTATTTTCGATATGGATGTTCGTCCAAAAGTAGCTACCCAACATGTTCATGTCAAAGTAATGAAGGTATCTCTACCACAATGCACGTATGATGGAAAGCTTCCCACATTTCCTCGAAAATCGCAAAATGACTTTGAATGATCTATTTGCAAGGGGCCTATAAAGAATTTGTTGCCTTGTGTGGTTTCTTTCTATATCCATGTTATATTTGTATAGGAAGTGTTTTCTATCGTACATCATCGATGCTTTCATTCTCTTCCTCAGTTTCTCACCTTTTTAATAGTGCATTTCTCACTTACAGTAGGATGGCATTGAAAAATTTTTCATTTATCGCCTCTCTCTCTCTCTCTCTCTCTCTCTCTCTCTCTCTTGGCTTAAAGCGACTCCATTTTTCCAATGTGGAATGAGCAATCTAAAGGGATACAGCTCCAGAAGAACAGTTGATAGAAAGAACAACAATGATATGAGACTAACGTATCAAAACTTGCAGACACAAATTTATTTTAGCCAACAACGTCGAATCAGCTAATATTGTTTTCTCAAAGTTGCTTTCCACTACTAAAACTATCACAAACAGATTATTCGAAAAAAAGGTCTTTAGACAGTACAGGACTATAGCAGCTTACAGCTTTCCAGAGCCTTCTAGCTTGCTTGCTTCTAACATAACATCTAAAGAGTTGACTTTAGATTCGCTGTCAGAAACATCTTTTACGTCTGTATCTTGTGAAGATTCCGTTTGGGAACTCTTATATTTGCCTGCAGGTCTATACTTTCCGAGAGTAAGAATCGTCAACAGCACTTTCCGTGATTCCCAAAGAGGTAACAGTATAATGGTTACAGTTGCAGCAGTTCCCCAGATAAGAGATAGTATTACCCAAAAGGTGAAATAGCCCTTTGAAAAGACACCTGCTGGAATAGCCAAGACTGGCCACAAAATAATGATCAGAATAGTAAATCCAAAGGCCAATGAGTAAGTCCAAACTCGAGCTCGTCTCAGATTTTCTTGCAGTTTCTTATCTGTTTGCATCCTTTCAACTTCTTCATCTTTTTCGACCACTTGTATCTGCGTCATTTCTCGCCAATCAAAGTTTTGAGGACTAATGAATGCAGAAATACTACATATAATACCGGATACGCATATAGATACTAAATTCCCAGCAAGCATAGGATAATTCTCACCCAAGCTATCTACTGAAACTTTTCCATATAGTCCCTTTGCAACGGAAAGCCATGTCATCACAGCTAAGAGTACTGAGGTAATGGAACCTCCTATTGCTCCCCATGCAGGCACATTCTTCCAAGTCAATACAAACGCCACTGGAAATACTGCGGCACCAATGACAATACCCATAAACAAGTAAACCCAATTCAGGTTCAATCCAATATGATGTAAAACGATACCAAATACTCCCATTGTTAGCCCAAACACAATAATAACCATTCTCGAAACCCGAATAATTTGTTTCCCTGTTGCTTCAGGGTGTATATAAGTTCGATAAATATCATAGGAACAAAGAGTACTGACAGCAACCAATTCTCGTGAACCAGCAGATGTTACCGCAAGAAAGAGCATTATCGTCATGAGAACTGCACCTCCCTTTCCCATCATTTGATAAGCTACAGCAGGTGGGACTAAACCAGAGCCTGCTTCCTGTGAAGTAACGGGCAAATCTAAAGCGAGACATCCCAAACCTAAAGAAGTAGACAGAGTAAATGGAATAGAAAACCAACAGATGCCAGCGAGTAGGTAACCCTTCCAAGATTCGTTTGGCTTAGCTGCAATTGCGCTTAACCAATAAGACTGATCCACAAAGACAGTACCAAAGTTACCAATGATGTTAATTACCCCGAATATCAAACCACCTCGGCTCAAAAATGTCAAAATAGATCCGTCCTTGTTGCCAGAAATAGGAAGAACATTTGAAACTTTCATAAGATTATCATATACCTTGGAAGGGCTTCCCAAAAGAGGATACGTTGCGTATATCAGATATGAAAAAATACAAAGTACAATATAAATGATACAAGTGTGGATGTAATCTGCTAAAAAGGTAGCCTTTAAGCCTCCATGGAGGGTAAATACAATAATACCAAGTGGGATCAGAAAAGATGCAAGATCGATGTTCATACCAGTTAAAGCAGCAATAACTGCAGAACCTCCCAATAGCAACATGGAAGTCACGATAATATTTGTGCAGAAAGCAAAACCCAGAAACACACAATGTGCGCTTTTTCCCCAACGTACTCGAATTATCTCTAAGAAGCTATGACATGAAGGAGCCTTTCTTTTCAACTCTACCGCTAACACACTAAAGAGAAATATCTGAAGAGTAGCTCCAGCAGCGTACCAGAATGGACCGCTAATTCCATATTCATATGCAACATTAGAGCTTTGAAGAAGTGTAGCGGCCCAGGTCCAGGCAGATATCACGACTGCAGCAATAAAGCCCTTTTTTAAATTTCTTCCCGCAGTATTGAAATGCTCAGAGTTGATGACAAACCCAGCAATTTTCACATCCAACCAAACAAGGAATGAAGTTAATACAGTAAAGAAAAACCCAAACCCGAGAACGATTCCATAACCGGCTCCAATAGGAAGAATGGACTGACTAGTAAAAAATTGCGTAACATTTTGATACTGTGGAAGATTGAATATATTCGAGCAATATTCACCTCCCTGACTAACAGGTATGCCATTACAATTTTGAACCATCGTTAGTAATGCACTACGACTTTGTAGGGTTTCAAGTGATTTAATTTATTTAATGCATCCTCATTTAGTCAACCGTTCGATTTCCGTTTGGAACTCAACCGCCCAGAGTCCGTTGGAATTTCGATCTCCATAATTCCACTCAATCAGATAAACCCTGTTCCCTCCATTCCCCTAGCGGCATATTTGAACTGCAAAGAAGCGAGCAAGAAATAGCTAATAAATAAGAGTAATGAAAGGAGAGGTTTCTTCTACTTATAGTTCCGAAATTTGTGCCATTTGTTGGGATTTTCCTGCACAAGTAGAGCTTAAACCATGTTGCCATAAAGTCATATGTAGAAAATGTATATGCCTTTTGGATGACAAAAAATGCCCAATATGTAGAGTAGAAATCTTAGAAGTTCATATTCGACTTCATGATAGTGCTCTTAGCACAGAGTGGTTTGACGAGAAACTCAACAGTATGTACAAACACGATTGCAATTCTATGTATGCAGAAGATCTAAAGGAGCCTGAAAACCTCCAACTGCTTTCTTCTGATGATGCTCAGATAACTTTTCAAAAACGAAGTGACTCACTATACTCAACAGAGGCTTGCATTTTCTCATTGGATTCTATAATAAAGAGCAGAAGAGCAAATGAAGAGCTAGTCAAACGGCAAGTATACCAAATAGTCTTGACGGGCTCCGAAGGTTTGGATACGCAGTCTCTGGTTTCTGAACTAAAGAAGCTCTTTCCAATCAAGCATAATTTGAAGATGCTTCAACATTCATCTTCAAGTTTGTACGATAACTTGCAGGCAAACGTTAATAAAGGGAACATCTACGCATTACAAGGCAAAGGTTCTTTTACGGAAATGAAGTTCGAATATTTAGTGGACACTCGGCAGTCTTTAGAATTCTATCTTCCAAACATGCAAGTTGGTTCGTTTCCTGTAAACCTTCGGCAATTATCCATATGGGAACTTCTTTGTGTTCTTCGTTCCAAAACGGGAGGTGGTTTCGATATCATGGTGTTATGCTGTAACGCAATGCATCAAAGGTCATTTGAAGAATTGCTGAGTTTGGATGAGCTACTCCGGAATCGTTATGCTCCAGGAAAAGGAAGGATATGGGTAGTATTGAATCCTCAGGAAATGCAGGATTCTAATGGCAAAAATTCATTATCCTTTGACGCAATAGAAAAAGCATTTTATCTTATTCCTATGAATCAGCGGCCAGTTGATTTGCTCTTCATGCAAACAAAATCCTTGTGCAACTTTTGGCACAAAGAACTGATGCATAGAATTTTGATTCATGCGAAAAGCTATCGAAAACTAACACCACTAGAATCAAAAGCCAACGTTGAGAAACATAAAGCTTGTTGTTACATGTAATTCTTGAGACGCGATACCTTTTGCTGTGAATTGATATATAAAGGGTTATTTGGTTTTAAAAAGGCGACTGTGACAAGGATCCAACTTTCCTTGATGTAACAACTGGGACTGACGTCGTCCAAAAAAAATATGGCCAATATCAAATGTTGGGACTATAATTATACGTTAGAGAAACCAGCCTAGCGGAAAATGTTCTATAAGGAGATGGGTAACTCATCCATCCATTTAAATAGTAGGCAGCAGATAGTCGAGTTGGATTTGATTTTTATGAGTTGTTTGAAACCTTGGTTTGGCCTATTTGTAAACCTTTATGCAGCACACCCTCTGAGAGTTGTTACATCCAGCTTGACCAGGAGTTGGGAAATTTACCTATAGGATGAAATGCTCCTGATTGAAGATACTACTTAAAATAGCTGACTGTCACTTTTCAAATACATTCGCTTAGGTCTAGCATGCAAAAATTGTAGATCTATTCAGAAGTGTCACCAGATGATACATATTTGAGGAGATTTCAAGTCTAAATGAAAGACTAAATTTTGTGAGTTGAAAATGACATTGGAGGAACATAGAAAAAGACAAAAATCCTCAATTGATTTATATTTTTGAAACAATTTAATCCTTTCTCCGAAACATTGTCTTTTTTTTTGCTCTTTTCTAATTTTTTTTTGTCATAAATTTATAGTACGTCCCGTTCCCTGTTAAGATAACAAGCATCCTTCAGAGAGAAGGCTATAATTTAATTTTTAAAGCTCGTTTTACATTTATTATTTTTTATTTGCTGTGTTGCTGAAATAACAAAGGTAATTTTTCTTTTCATGGATGGTTGGTTTCGTTCGATTAGTTCTGGAATCGCTGAGAATTTTTCGATATCACTCCATGTGTATGTACTCTTTCTCAGATTGTCTCCTTTAATGTCTTTTGCTGGTTCAGAAATCGATCAAAGTATTCACATGTATTGGTTCTGGAGAGCTTTTGTTCTTTCAGTAAAGATGTATGAAATGTATCTTTTATGGAGATCCCTTGGTTGAGAATGATTATTTTATTTTTGACAAGGAAAATGGCCTAGAAGCGTTCACAAAAGGTCAAGAATCTGCTTTTATTAGGATTCACAGTATATGTAAATTTCACTGTGTTTCTTCTAGAAGCCTTATCCTTGTGAACAGCTAAATGGTACTCCACCTTCTTCTATGGCTTGAATCAAACTATAGATTGCACCATATCCTCCCAATACTGTAAGAACTGCGCCAAAGAGTATAATAAATAATGCTACACTGCCTTTCCATATCGGTATCTGCTTTCGAAACTGTAAGTAATAAAATAGAGAAGGAAATGTAAATGTGGTATTGGATGCAATGAGAGCAGCTGCTGTTCCAACCAAAGCCCCAAAAAAAGGAATCAATGAGGTAATCACATATCCCAATGCAACCACAATGAAAGACCACAGAGCCCACCAACCTCTATTTACGAAGGAAGTGTCTCTGAATTTTCTCCGTCCACAACGTTGAAGATAATATTGCGTATATCTAGTCAGTATATTTTGACAAGTAGTGGCACCGATGATCATCGAAATAATTACTAAGACGTTGACGACATACAATGGAGCTCCGGATGGAGTACTTAAAGAAATGGGGTTCTGCAACAAAGAAGTGTTTCCCAAATAGGCATAACCAACAGAGCCAACTGATGTATAAAAGCAGAAAGCAAATGTCTGAGATGTCCAAAGTGCTTTTTTGAAATCCTCAATTGCTGTCATTTCCGCCATAAATGGAAAAAGGACAATGTGAATAGCATATGCAAAAACAAGATTGTCCATTCCAAGAACACCAGTCACAAAGCCAAACTTTCCAACTAGACTGGTGGAGGAGTTTGCAGCTTGTCCAAGCTGAGGGGCATATCCCATTACAAGTAACATTGCGACAAGAATACTAGTCAATCCTACCGAAGCAACTAGAGAGACTCCACATAAACTACGAAGCTGACCAATGATATATATAATGCAAGCTGCTACAGCTATGAATATAGGCAAGCAGACACTTGGAGCCATGGAAGACAGTGATAAGGCTGCTGTAAGCATCATACTCATCATATTGAACATCATGTAAGTGTAAACAAGAAAACTACCCAGCAACAGTCCACCTTTGCCAAGATACTTTTGGAAGATGATAGGATAGCTGCGCACTGTAGGAAAGAGTTGATGCATATACATAAGATACAATCCAGTAATTGTCGTAATAAGATAGACGGCGGTGTTGAGGATAATAGCTGGCAACCAACCGAGATATTCAAATGCTGATGGCACTGGAAGCACTCCTACTCCGACAATGACATTGGCGTTCAGCATAGCACATTGAAGCCAGTGCATTTTACGAGGTGGGAAATATTCTTTTTCGGGATCATTCTCATTCTCTACAAAGTTCTGACTCGGTTCAATAGTTGAGTCTTCGTTATGTAGAGGGCTATTTTCTTTGTTTTTGCAGTCATCTTCCAAAACAGCTAAAATTTCATGATCTTCATATGTTAAGGAATCATGTTTCGACGATGTAGCCATCACCAGATAACAATTGACAAATACGATCTGCATTCATCTCTTTAGAAAAAGAAAGGGCAAAGAGAATTATTCAACCGCCCATGAACGGTTAGGGCGGTTAATACGATTGATTCGTCAAAGATGTGCCACGCAAAGCGTTTCTGATCTGGAAAATGTTTTATAACAGTTTGGAAAATAACAACTGCTTCAGAATTATTTTACCGACTTGACTGTTTCCAATGACAACATTATATGCAAGGTGTGCGGAAGAACTGTTGAAGAAGTCAACTTTTCAGACTTGTAAGAAGTTTCTTTCTACTACTATTAACTATTCTGCTATCAGAAGAAAAAGGTTCAATGCCTCAGTGGATAATAACCAGAACAATATTAGACTGCTTTCTTTATCTATGAAGCAGTTTAGTTCGCAAGCTTTTGACCAGGAGATACCTGTAACCAACTATCCCAAATTGACCACTCCGAAGAAAGATGGTTACATATTTCCAGCGGAATGGTCTTCACATAAGCAATGCTTTATTGGATGGCCCGATGTAGCTCCCAAATGGAGAGAAGGTGGCATACCAGCTCAAAGAGCAATTGCTGAGATTGCCAAAGCAATATCACAGTTTGAACCAGTAACGGTGGTTGCTTCCAATCCTACTGGATGGAAAGCTGCAAGAAGTAGACTGCCACAATCCATTCGTGTCATACAGATACCTAACAATGACTGTTGGCTTAGAGATTCGGGACCTATTTTTGTCAAGTCCACTAATCATGAAGTTGAAGAACTAGCTCGAGGAGTAGTTTTCAACTTTACTGCATGGGGAGGCCCAACCGAACCGGCCTATGGAGACTGGTCATTAGACTCACAGTTTGCAGAGAATTTACTGCAAGTGGAGAATGTATCTCAATATTATGCAGGTATGGTTCTTGAAGGAGGTTCCATCTCAGTGGATGGACAAGGAACACTAGTGACGACAGAAGAGTGCTTATTGAATCCAAATAGAAACCCATCCATGTCTAAAGAAGAAATAGAGCATCGCCTCCAGGAATTCCTCGGAATTAAGAAAGTTATCTGGTTGCCTTATGGAGTCTATGGCGATGATGACACAAATGGACATGTGGATAACATGTGCCAGTTTACTCAGCCAGGAACCGTTGTGTTACATTGGACTGATGACCCAAAAGATCCTCAGTATGAAAGGTCTCATGAAGCCTATGAACGACTTAACAGTACTACCGATGCGAAGGGAAGAAAGATTAAAGTGTTCAAGTTGCACCTTCCTGGCCCTTTATACCGGACTGTTGAGGAACAGTTTCTCTTTGATGGTTGCAAATTACGACCAGCTGGACAAAGACTTCCTGCGTCCTATGTGAATTTCTACGTGACCAATGGAGGAGTTGTAGCTCCGAAATTCAACCACCCAAACGATGAACTTGCTAAGAAAACATTAGAAGAAGCCTTTCCAGGACGACGCATTGTTCAAGTATATGCCAGAGAAGTTTTACTTGGTGGAGGTTGTCTGGGTTGTATCCATTGTATGACTCAACAACAGCCACAATAAGGGCTTTTATATGAAAGCTTTGTTCTTGTGTCTTTCTCTATAAAGGTATAATACGTTTTTGTTCAAAAATATTGGCAATGATTGGTTTGATCATCACCTTGTATTATTGGTTTGTGAAGTCCTTATATTGGAAACTTGCAGCATTCTCTTCATTGAGAAACATAGCCTTGGAAATATTAAAGGAAAGAATCGAATCTCTTTGAATTATAGAAATAGGAAGACATAGAAATAGAATCGATCCAATGGACATACTTTTTAAGTTTCGTGCCAGGACGTTATTACAGGTTATGATGTTGGCTTCAGCTTGCTATACTTTTTGTCTTGTTTATCTTATTTCATGTTGATTTTACTGCCTTTTTCGTTATTTGTATCTTTGATTCTTGATGCAAGTCTGTGCAAGCTTGTTTCAGTGTTTTGAAGCAGCTCACAGGATAATTGAAAGGAATCCATACTCTTTTAAAAACAAGAATGTGCTCAATTGTGAAGTGTGAAGAAAAGGAGAATTGTATGTACCTTGTTCATCAATTTTTTTATAGCTGGAAAAAAACATGGACTATTTGGTTGTATATCAAATTCCTTTTTATAGCAATGACATTTTGTCAAGTATCTTTATAGCAGTTTATTCATCGTATCGCACACTTTTGAACTGTAGTGAAACTAAATACAAACTTACTAGAAACCATAAATGATTCAAAATAGAAGAAACAGCATGACTAGGGACAAAACCATTCAGAGTTTGACATTTATAACGAATACTTGTTCCAGAGAAGGAAAACCACATTCTGGTCTGAAAAAGTAAGGTCTAACAAACTTCTTTGAAATTGTGGCATCGAAGCTAATTCTACTATCAACTCCAAGCTTATTGTGAAACAAGATATTGTTTGCTGGTTTTTCAAGAAACTCTCATAACATATGTGTCAAGCTACACTTCTTAATTGTTAATTGTGATAGCGTAATCTTAGGAAGACACCTATCGTTTTCTCTTATCATACTAAATGTTTTCATCAATATTCGCTGTGAAGGCACTTTCAGTAACTTCCGTTGCATTATCTCCTCGTATATGCGGTTATAGGAAGCCACCAAACGGTCATAGTTGGAGGGGAAAAAAAGTGTCCGACCTGATGAGTTGGACTACTTTATCTAAGGAGAGCTTTTGAAGTGTAATTTGTACAAGTTTCAGAATACCTTGTGGGGCTTTAGTCTAAAAAAGTTTAGTGTTAAGTACAGGACGTTATTGGTGTGTAGTTAAATGATTTTCTAAAGCTTTCCAATAAGCTTTTTGGAGAACGTTCTTTTTTTCGAGGAATATTGGAAAAAATGGAACAAACTTTTCTTTAATTAAAGAATCCTAGTTTTACACTGAAGCTACCAAAATATCGAGCTCACAGTCGTTCAACAACTTCAAACATTCCAGGTCTCTAGATGGCAGGTTACCTTGTCGGTAGTTATACTTTTGAAGCTTGAAAAAGGTGCTTCGTCAGAAAAAGACTTGGTGTTTTAGTGGAAGCTTGCTTTTGAATTTTCTTTCTGATGGAAAGATTACAGAGTTGCCATACTATGAGCTCTGCTGCAACGACGACTGTTATATTTGTTAAAGGAACAAGGCATGAACTATGAAGATAGATAATGATCCTGTTCCGATTTCCCGAAGACACTCATGTACCAGGGAGGCAAAAAACTGTAAGGTTTCGACGCTTCCGACGCTAAAATTACAACTTATCTGCACAGATCGCTGCGATTTGTAGAAATGGCCCTTTGTCGCGTAGACTATTCCATTCCATCTTCAATACATTCCGTAAAAAGAGTTTCTTCGACGTCTTTTTTTATTGTGGATTCTTGATGGCAGTTGATCACCAAGAAGTTGATCCAGTTGCTACTAGCAGCCCAGTTGCTCCCATAAAACCCCCTCATTTACATATTGACTGGTCAAAGATAGGACTTACACCCTCTAGACTACAGTTTCTTGCTGAACTGGTAGCAGAGTTTATTGGTATTTTTTTGCTTATTTTGGTTGGAGACAGTTGTTCGAGTATGGCTTTGCTCTTCTCACCTAGTCCTTATTTGACATCCTATTGGGGAGTTTGTATCACATGGGGTTTAGCAGTCACTTTTGCTATTTATGGCACGGGTGGTGTCTCAGGCTGTCATATCAATCCTGCAGTCACTGTAAGCTTTGCACTATTCCGAGGTTTTCCATGGTGGAAAGTGGTGCCATATATTATTGCACAGTGGATGGGTGCATTTGTAGGCGCTTTTTCTGTATACAATATGTATTTTCCCATATTTACAGCATATCTCAACAGCAACAATATTACCAAGCAAGATTCAGTCACTAGCTCAGAATCTTTCTTTACTTCGGTCAATGAGCATCTCACCAATTATGATGGTTTTATTGGACAAATATATCAAACTGGCATTTTATTATATGGAATCTTTGCCGTTACTGACCCATTCAATCCCAACTCGTTTAGTCACAATGGATTGAAAGCATTGCTTATTGGTTATGTAGTTGCAATGGTTGGTGGTGGATTTGGCTTTCTTGAGGGTTTTGCTATCAATCCTGCAAGAGATTTTGGTCCAAGAGTGGCTGCTTATGCTCTCGGGTGGGGAAAGGCTGCCTTTCCTGGTTTCCATAATTATTGGTGGGGTCCTATTTGTGGACCTTTTATTGGAGGTCCACTTGGTGCATTTATTTACGAAGCCTTTAATCGTCCTTTCATGCCAGGAGTTCAAATACACGGAGATACCCCTCTGATGAAAGCTTGGAGTCGATTGATTATTTGGCTTTTCCCAAAGCTCGCAGTTTCTCAGGATGACTATGGTAGAACAGATAAGATGAATGTGATTCTTGAAGATCGTTTTCATAGTGACTATCATCATGCTATGATAGATGTGGGTCCAGGTGGGACAGTTCCACAAGAGTCCGGTATTGAGGGCCTTGATAAGAGTTTGTGACGTGGTTTGCATTTTTGAGTTTTCAAACACAACAAGATTCGTAAAAGCTCATTGTATCGATGCAAAATAAAAAGTTGTTGAGGAACGTTTCATGATGTCTCAAGTCATCATGAGGTTACTCACATTATGTTTTAGAAACACAAAAAAACATTATCCAAACCAGAAAAAGAAAGCAGCTTTTGTATTCGTTTCACAAATATGCAACTAGAATGATAACCAAAGCTGGAGAGAGAGAGAATATTTCTTCACCACAGCTGTCCAACAGAATCTTGTCCACCCTCTCATGCTACTACAAACAGTAGTAATTGTACGCTAGTTACAGATTGTCGTTACGACGAACTTGTACTTTGACAGTCAGAGAAGATTAGGTTGAGTAATTGAATGATAGAATCTCAGTTGATCATTCTCGTAAGGAATCCATAGTTATAACATTCAGAGTCTTTTGAAAACAAAATGGAGAGTCGTCATACATTATTCGACTCAGTGCGACAAAAATAGCTGATCAAGAGAACTGTGCACAAGTATTCCAGATGAAGCCCGGTTATAAATCTTTCAGAATGTATCGCTAGTTTTTGAATACTTTACGAGATAATAACCGGAAACAAAACTTGAGCTATGATTTTCTATTTTTATGACTTTTCCAACGATCATAATCTTAACCATTTTTCGAATACACAAGTAGCCTGAAGAGTCAAAATGTTGGTTGTTAGTTTACAGCAGAATTTTCTAGTGTTCAGTGGATAGATATTTGGTTTTAAAAGGTTTTCATTTTCTACTCGTTCGCTTTTTATATTCACTCCTTTGCATGTTTCTTTGGCTTTTTTTTATGATACTAGACTAGTCATGCCATTCTTCCTCTGCATCTGATTCCTTCATGTGAATATTGAAGAGATGTGATTATAAAGTAAGTCCAAGTTTCAATATGGATAAAGCATTGGTTGTCAACTGAAAAATGAATCCAAGCTTTCATTCAAACATCTCGATAAAGAAACCAACGCATAGATGTTGGAAATTCCAAGCATTGTGAAGGGCCTATATAAAAGAGTTGGAGAGTTCAACTTTTCATACTTTTTGTGGGAGGCGGGCGGGGAAAGTGTTGAGGAAAAAAATGCCTGTCTAGAAAAATGGCGCCATTTTCCACGGAGTTTGAACCATTTTTGTGGAAGATAAAGTCCTCTTCTTGTCAACCCACTATCCCTTTTATATGTTTATAAACTTGGAACAAAAGATTCTACTACTGTTCTTAAAAGTTTTTCTCGATTGGACCAACGACTCTATACAACAAGGATGGAACCATCAAAACAAATTCCATAAACGTGTGACTTACCTCTGAACAAGTAGCCGTAACATTGAACAATTTGCTTTTGGATGCTGTTAATAAAACCAGTTGATGAAGAGGATCTCCTTTCAATTCAATCTCATATGCAGGAATTCCTCCAGTTTCCTTTTCAGTTGCAGTAACCAGTTGCAACTTGCGGTTCTTGGCCAATTTTTCACCAATTTGCTATTTCAAGTTGTAAATTTCTAACAACCGAATGAATAAGCAATACTTACCATGGGAGAACCCAAATCCTTTATGGATTTATTTTTTCCTATATCCACAGTAGCTATCATGACGACTTCCAAAGGTTGGATGATATCTTGCCACTTGATATCATATTGATTGCGTTGTCCACTGAATTCATTCCATCCTAACGGTCTCAATATTTTATAACCTTGTATCAAGTCTTTATAGGTTTCTACTTGATTGGCAACGGAGGCAGGAACACTTTGTTTTTCTTCTTTTGCCCAACTAGCACTATCACCAAGAAAACAACCAACACCAGTTAACAAGATACTAGTCCAAACCCAATCATTCAAAAAATTGCGCCTACTATAATTATTCAAATTGCTTGTCAACTTGTGACAACAAACAACACAAGGAAAGAGAGGACGATGTGAAGAGCAACAAGGTTTTCTCACAAAGCTATCTTTAGAATACTTTGGGGCAAGGAAAATAGAAAACTAGAGTATCATTGTATTCATTAGAATAAAGGAATAGCTACTGGAGAATTTTGTTACCTGAAGAGGAACAAACCCATTACGAGGACTACTTTTCATGGCCTTATCACGAAATCTCGATGCAATTCTACAAAACTTTTCTCAGACGGCCATTTTATATAATGAGTCGCAACTCAAAATCTTTGTAAGGTTCTTTATTGAGGTGCTTTCAATACCAAAACCACCGAATCACCACGCAGAAACATTTTAGGAATAAACCTATCCTTATTTACTGGCCTAGCTTTCTTACTTTTGGGTATCTCTGTCCATATTTCTTTCACATTTTCAAGAATCTACACACGGCACTTAGTAACTCTATTCTATCTGGGGTACAGTTTCGAAAAATATCATCGCCCAACTTTCCTCCTCACTTACCATATTGAAATGACGATCAAACGCCTTTACTTTTCCAAGCAACTTTTTGCTATTTCTGACATTGATTAACACCTATTATACCCATCATCATTCGTATTGAAACTATTTTCACTTGAAACCTTTCTCTTTCTTACCGGAGTACCATCTTTCACACAATCTACCAACAACGAAAGAGGACCTTGAGAAAACTCTTCCGACTTGACAGTGTCTACAATACCCAAAGGTTGGTTAGGATCGCCCATTCCCGAACGAGTGTCGGGAACCTTGTTCCTATTATATTCAAGTTGGTGTATAAACTTGATAATATTGCAATGTTTCCTACTTAGTAGAAGGCATGAAATGTTGCGTTGAGTTTTCCAACAATCACAACACGATAATTGTATTCACACTATCAACAGCTTGAGACAAAAAGTATTTTTCCCTCAACGACTTATTCCCACAAGAAACAATCCAATCATTCATCCACTTGGGTAACTCCGCCTGTTGTAGTAGAGAGATGACTTATCATAGTGTTCCTATCCAAGTCAAGTGGCAAAAACAAAAGTTTTCAATCTCTATAGATAAGAATCAACCTATTCGGGTGTTTCAAGAGGAATTATATCGTTTGACGGTAAGTCTAGTCTAGTTTCTTTCATCCTTTTGATGAAGAGTTTCCTAGCAAGTCCCTCCCGAAAGACAAACCATATTGGGTTTCAAAGGTGGAAAACTTACCAAAGATAAAGATTGGGATAGTTGTGGATTGAAAGAGAATATGTCCATCGTTTTGATAGGTTCAGCTGACGAGGTGAGAATGGTTACTTGCGTAGTACACGTCCCTCTTATTATGTTGTTGAACTATTCTATTAGGTCCCTAAAGCACCCACAAGTGTTCAATTTATAGAAGATGTAGCTCCTCATGGAGAAGATTCATTGCAGTTGTGGGATGGATTGCCTTGTGGTATGGTGAACGTAGGAAATACTTGTTATATGAACGCCACTGTACAGTGTCTTTCAACAGCAGATTATCTACTTCATAGTATTCGTGAATATTGTAAGCAACATCCCAGTCCAAGAACTGCAAGTGAAAAGCTTGTATCTGCACTCTTTCAAGTATTTGTGTCTTTGCATACCACACCTTGTATAGGTCCCGTTGTTCCTATGGAGTTGTTACAGCAATTAAGAAATGTCAATCCTCAGTTTCAAGAGCGAAATAATCATGGAGTTTATTGTCAACAAGATGCGGAAGAATGTTGGTCTACTTTGCTTGCTCAATGTCATCAAGTACTTGTCTCACCTAGTCTATTATCCATGTCTAGTTTTCCGTTGGGTGATTCAGTCATAGATTTCTTATTTGGTGTTGAGTTGGAAACCATCGATACCTGTTTGGAGAGTAGTGATGAGCAACCGAGAAAGAGAAAGGAAGTTGTTAGGTCTCTCAAGTGTCATATTTCACATAATACGAGTTATTTAGAACAAGGATTGAAGGAAGGTTTAGAGACGACCATTGAGTTGACTGCAGAGACATTGGGTAAGAGTGTTGGATGGAGTAGGAAAAGTAGAATATCTCGTATGCCTCCTTATTTGTGCATTCAATTTGTTCGTTTCTTTTGGAAAGCTACGGAACAAGTGAAAGCCAAAATATTGAGGAATGTTTCATTTCCTGTTCTTTTGAATTTGTATGATTTTGCTACAAATGAGTTGAAGCAGAATATAGAAAAGCAATCCGATTCACAGTTTTCTTGTGACAATCATGATGATGATGTAGGAAATGCGGTGGATTGGAACACACAATCTCATTATGGTCATTATGAGTTAAGTGCAGTATTGACTCATCAAGGAAGAGCTGCGGATTCTGGACATTATGTAGCTTGGGTTAAACGAGATAAATCTTGGTATAAATTAGATGATGACAAAGTAAGTCTAGACTAACCATCCCATTAGACTATTCCAACTTTTGTTTAGGTATGTTATTGTTCTGAAGAAGATGTTAAAAAACTATCAGGAGGTGGAGACTGGCATATGGCATATTTGTGTTTATATCGTCAACGGTCTTTGAAAAGTATCAAACCAACTGATTGTTAAGTATTCCATGACAATATAATAAAATGGCATTTTGAGCATGCATTCTATTTTCTGCTTGTTGAAATACTTTGGAGTTGTGTGACTCCATTACCTTGTCATCGCATTCTCTGCCTCTTTCTGCAGGTAAACAATGCATAAAGATTGTATCTTTGTTTTGAGAAGCTTTCATCAAATCCATTGTGACTTGATAGGGCGAAAATACTTCCATTCGTTGTTGCAAACTTGACTTTTGTCCCATTGAAGCCCAAACGTCCGTATAAATAACATCAGCACCAACTACGGCCTTCCAGGGATCATATTCTATACTAGCTTTGCCTCGATGGGAACGATTCACCAAATCTAAAAGAGTTGGATTCGGCTCATAACCCTAAAATACGCAATTATACATTATTTCTTTTCAAAACAATAAATATGGAAGCGTTCTACCTCCGGACAACAACATGTAAACTCCAATTCCACTAAACTGGTCAATTCTAACCAGGAATGAACAATATTATTTCCATCACCAATGTAAACAACTTTGACTCCTTGCAACCTTTTCTTTTCTTCCAAAATAGTAAGAGCATCTGCAATAATTTGACAAGGATGATTATAGTCTGTCAAGCCATTGATGACTGGAACTTTACTAAATCTTGCCAATTCCAACAAATCACTGTGTGCATAGAGACGAGCCATTATTGTGTCGTTCATGGAAGAAACTACTCTAGCTACATCCTTCACTGCCTCACGTTTACCAATACCAACTTCTTCACCCAAATACAACGCATGACCTCCCAACAAATACATACCTGAACATAATATATAAGATTATGAAATAGTCCTAACACGATAAGATACCCGTTTCAAATGATATTCTCGTACGTGCAGAAGGCTTAGCAAATATCATAGCCAGAGTCTTTCCATCCAACGGCTTTGTTCGATATTTCCCTAGTTGTTTCAGTTCCAGTTTCATTTCCAACGCGATTTGCAACAGTTTGGATAACTGAGAGCTGGTCAAATCATTTACGTGTAGGAAGTGATGTTTAGAAGGATCAGCAAGGGATGATAAGCTATGTAAAGACTTTGAGCTCTTAGGTCTGACAGATCGCAACAAACGTCGCTGTTGTTCCACACTCCTCTGATGACCAAAACTACGACTCTTATTGCCTTGAAAAGACCCGTAAGATAAAAAAGAGTGACTCTGAAATAACAAAATAGCGTTGGTCATTCAAAAAAAAAAAGAGAGAAAGATGATGTGAAAATAAGAACGAATGGCAAAGGAATTTAATTCCAATATGCATAGATAGAAAAAGGAATTGTGTAGTTACAATAAAACTACAAACAGGAGAGAAAACAATATTTTACCTTTAGACTTTTCATGAATATACTTGTCGAATATGATGTGACCAAGGTAAGAGCTCTTCACTTAATACGATAGAAACTGGCCGTTGAGATTCGACTACTTCAACTTCTAGCAATAGCCAAGATAAATCACAAGGATAACTTCCTAACCAAGAAAGAGACAGTTGAACAGCACTTTTCGTTGAGTAAAGAAAAGCTTTTAAACGCAATTCATTTTCTTCAGAGTAAGGACCATCATCTTCCACAAATATTTCTTCAGTGACGGAATATTCAAGCCAAGGATCGGGATAGCAAACAACTAATCGACTCAAAAGAGTTTCCTCTCGATCTAAAATACCTGGTTGTCTGTTCTGATATATTATGGCACCTGAACGAACGAATAGAGGGACTCCTTGTTCTACTAGTTGAACTTGAATAGTTTGTCCACCTTGAAACCACAGCTTTTTATAATAATCATACCAATGACAGCTCTCTGGAAGATATACAAAAGTGGTCCTAAAAAAACTCTTTTAGTATGAGAATAGGTCTTGACACTGTCAATGGTTACCTTTCATTTGGTCGAGTGATGGGATGAACTAGTAACCAACTTCCCAATAAAAATGAAAATGACTCAGTTGCACAAGTCTTATCGCTTGGGAAATGATAAACCAATGGACGAACCACCGGATGACCAGTTTCACTAGCAAGAATATGCAAATTGTACAAGTAGGGTATCAACTGTTGCCGAAAGGATAAGGCATGCCTAACTCTATCAAGCATAGTTGGATACATCCAAGGCTCATTGACTTTCCAACTGTGTTCATCCACTGAATTCCATCCAGAATGAATAACAAAACGAGGCATAAAAATATTCAATTGAATCCATCTAATAAATAGTTCAGGATCAACTTTAGGGCCATAAAATCCTCCCGTATCATGACCAACGAAAGGAAAACCACTCAAACTCATTCCTAAACCTATCCACAAAATGAAAGTATACAATCAACCCAACGTGATATCGAACACACTCATGGGAATATTATACTGTAATGTCTTCCAACTGGTATGGTTATCTCCAGACCACGACTGAGAAATGTAACGTTGCATACCCAAACAAGTGGAACGAGAAACTACAAATGGCCGATAAGAGGGACTAGAAACATTGATAATTCAATGGACATATATAAAGGACTTACTTATATCGCAAAAGAGCATTTCTTGAGGCTTTAGCCATCCAAAGCGACTGAATGGGTCGACCTATCTGTTTCAAAGAATATCCCAAATCTATGCAACTATTCCAATCACAAACATCCCATTCATTATTATCATTCCATATGCCATCGATACCAAAGGCTAAATAGTTTTCTCCTAACATGTGAATCCACCATTCCATAGTCGCTTCATTGGTAAAGTCTAAATAGGAACCGAATTCGCTGATACTTGCTTCCGATGACCACAATGGAAACAGACAAGGTTCCTTTACTCCTTTTTCATTTAGATGATATACAAAGAGTTGCAAGTTCTTAGCAACTCCATAATGAGGATTGGAACAAAGAAGCCATGGCTTCACATTCGCAATTAAGTGCATGCCATTACGTTGAAAAAAATGAACCAAATCTGGAACGTTCGGTATCTAAAACATTGACATGATCAATTTCCTGATAGAAATAAGTATGCATATATCCAAATGCATAATACCTTGTCTTTGTTCCAATAAAACATTTGTCTTCGTTTCATAGAGTCTGTAGAATATCCTGAAGATAAATGAAAACCAGTGCAGACAATATCATATCGTCGACAATTTGAAACAAAATCTTTCAACTGTTGCTCTGCATCATTACTTTCTGTGTAAAACATCCCACTACCTAAATAGTACAAAGCCCATCTAAAAAACGGTTCCTAGTTCCATCTCAATGAACAAAACAAAAACGAACAAGATACCTTGGAATTCTGGGAGGAAAGCCGGTTAACTTGGCGAGCTTCTCCATTATTTCTACTATAGAGGGACCATAAATAACATAGTAATCGATATCTCCACCATTTACACTAAAATATCGATAGGAGCCATAAATTGCTTGAATTTCCTTGCCCATATCAAAAGTACAAGGCAACATTGTATCGTACAAAATTCCACAACCAACAGCTAAAATGATCGAGTAAAACTCAGAAATGAAGATATTCGATATAAATGCATTTGTATTCATGGCTTACCTAATGCACTATTCCATGTAATATAGAATGGATGATGCTTATAGAGTGGGTCGCTGGTTTCTGCATCATATCCCAACGCATCTCTAGGATCCATACGTATTCTGCTTCCGTATTTGTCTAGTTCTCCACTTGTTTCACCAAACCCATAATAATGCTCCGAATGTTTACGAGCTAGATAGTGATAAGTCTCGGTTTGCTCTTTTCCGCTCACGTAAGCTTCCATAGGACGATCCTCTAGAAATGCTCTTCCATCACTATCTTGCCAGTATAGTGCCACCGTGTTATGTATTTGAACTTTGATTTGTAATTTAGTTCCTTTCAAAGTCAGCATGGAACTGTCTAGATCTCTTTCCACTGTCACTTGAGGACAAGCAAACCTTGAAAGGTCATCTCTGCCAATACCTTGCAGAGGAACATCGTTATTTTCATCACACTGAGTATTGTGAACTTTTCAAATTCCATAGACTAACAAAAACTTACTCTAATCCAAGTTCTATCCAACAAAGGTTTCCCTTGTGGCAGAAAAGTCACCCTTACAATGTCTTCCTCTAAAAATTGTACGGAGAACTTTTCTTTATACCTTCCCACTATTTTAAGTTGGTTGCTCAAGTGAAAACTTGGAACAATTTCAGAGGAAGCTTCCACTTGCAACGGTATACGATGCTTCCAACTCTCGGAGGACATTATATTCTAAAGTGAAAACATGAGAAGTGAATAGCTGATTCAAGTTGTTATTACAAATCCTGATTTTTTCTTTACATTTTGGCGCCAAGAGGAAAATAGGAAGTATTGTTAGAATCAAACCAAATAATGGCTCTTTAAAATATGCGATGGTTGTATTATCCACGCTTTCGTAAACTTTCTCGTTTACTTCATAACATGCCGAAAAGAAAATCAACTGTTACTAATCCACTTTCTTTCACAAGACCACCGGTTATTTGTAAAAATCCAGCTCCTCTCAGTTATCGCTGGATTGGTATAGATCGCTCAGAGAAGATGGTCAAGTTGAGTAACAGCATAGCTCATAAAATAGAGTTGGAGGACGACAATAGTGATATGAGAGACGAGTTTACTAGAGTTTTAGAACTCACCGAAGAGGAAAGAAAATGGCGCGACAAGGGATATGAGGTTATTGTTGGAGTAGATGAAGCGGTAAGCACAAGTAGAAGACAAATTTTCGTTCTCTGAACAAGTTGTTTTTAGGGCAGAGGTCCTCTTGCAGGGCCCGTTGTTGCTGCTGCTTGTATTCTACCTCCTGATGTGCTATTTGAGGGTTTAAATGATAGCAAAAAATTATCTCCAAGTCAACGAAATATACTGTACGAAAATATTCAGAAATATGCAATAGAATATGCTATTGGACAAGTTGACCATCATACGATTGACCAAGTGAATATCTTTCAAGCCACAATGATGGCTGTACAAGATGCATTAAGACAATTGAGAACCAAACCTGATATGGTGATCGCAGATGGTCCTCATTGGAAACTAACTTTGGATATTCCTTTAGTTGGAGTGATAAAAGGAGATAATACTATATTATCTGTCTGTGCGGCATCAATCTTGGCAAAGGAAACGAGAGACCGTTGGATGATAAAGGCTAGTCTGGACTATCCTGAATACGGATTTGAGAAACACAAAGGATATGGAACAGCATTTCATCTGAAAGCGATTCAGACATTTGGACCATCAGCATTGCATCGTATGTCCTTTCGACCTTTATGTGAAAATGAGCCCCATTCGACCTCTAAAAGAAGAAGAAAGCCGTTGAATACAAAATAATAATGACTGCAGAATCATTCTTCACTACTCATTATGCACTCTTTTCTTCAGATCCATTTTTCATCTATATTACGATGAAAGTGTAACTTCATTGCCCAAGAGCCCTCCATATCTGTGGAAACTGTCAAGTTATTATCTCTAAAAGCAGCCATTCTTCTTCCTTTGGTATCCGCTCCCAATCCTACCTTCAAAGATGGTTGTCCGCCTGGAATAGTATGGACAAAACCAATGCGACCTATTCTATCTCTTTTCCAATTTCTAAAGGAAAATTGATATCTCACAGTTAGTTCCGTTCGTTCATTTAATAACCACGTCTTGTATATCGATGAGGAAGCAATCGTCTTTTGAATAGGAACAATTTCTCCTCGCAAGTCCATCTTCCAAGGCCAACTATTTCCGACTGTAAAAGAATGCTCGATGGCAGCTCTCGTCAAAAGCTCTGCATCTCCGTGATTGGCTGCAGTAGAAAGTATCACTTTGGTCTTGTTACTTACTTGAAACTCCCTATGTACGTGCAAATCAAAACTTCCATCTGTCGAAGTAAAAACAAGACTCGTGTCTAAACGATTCTATAGAATCACTCAACAAAGTGAGGATACAATTACTTTGTACCACTTACTTTACTTGCATGGACCATGAAAGGTAAGAAAGATTTCACGATCTCAAACCACCACCACCACACCAACAGAAGATGAAATGAGAAGAAGATTTATCGTTTTCATTTATTGAAACCATTTTTCATTCGACTTTGATACAAATAACATTGACTCGCTCATATCTCTCTTGAATCTTCCTGACCGAGCCAACGATATGGAACGGGTGGAATATAAGCAGCATTCTTTCTTATCCACGGGTGTTGTAATACCAAATGTAAAGGGAGTCTTCTTTCTGGCTCCTTCACAAGTAGTTTACTTATCAAGTTTCGAGCATCTTGACTCAACCAATCAGGAAAACGTATATCAACACGTGCTATCCTTCGATAGGTTTCCGTATGACCTTGTGCTTCAAATGGAGGACTTCCAACCAAAAACTCATACATCAAGACGCCTAAACTCCAAATATCCACATTCTCATCATGTTCTCGGCCTTCTACCATTTCCGGTGGTAAATAGTCAAGGGTACCACACATAGTCATTCTTCGTGAATGGGGAGCATGAACAGACCAACCAAAGTCTGCAATCTTCAACTCTCCTCGTATACCCAACAACAAATTTTCTGGTTTAATATCTCTATGTATCACATGTTTTTGATGACAATATAACAATGCATGAGCAAGAGATGCAATGTAAGTGGCTGCTCTAGACTCTGAAAATTTACCGCATTTTTGCAGCTCCTTATATAATTCACCTCCAGCAGCATATTCTAATATGAGGAATACTCGAGATTTATCATAAAAATAACCATAAAGTTTCAGTATATTTGGATGTCGAAGATGGCTTTGTATTTCAATTTCTCTGCGCAGTTGATGTTCTACACCAGCTTTCACTAGTTGACTTTTGAACAAAATTTTGAGAGCAACTACAAATTTGGTCTTTTTCTCTCGTGCCAAATATACATTACCAAATTTTCCTCTTCCTAATGGTCTTCCTATATCAAAGTCATCCAATGACCATCGCTTAATAGTCTTAGTGCGTTGTTGATGATCTACTTGAGATATTTCATCTGCTCTTTTCTCTTTTTCAGAATTATCCTCTATATGAATAGAATTTACCAACTTGTGAGTAGATTGATGTTTACCATCTCGTATTTGAAGTCCTTCTGTGCCTTGAATGAGACTATGACAGTTGGTCAACTCTTCATTTCCTATATTGGTTGGATTGTTCTCATTTTTCTCCTGTAATACAATCAATATTTGCTCATTCACATAGTCTCCATATACTTACCTTTTTAGATGGTGATGGATGAAAAGGTGAATCTAATTCTTCTGTTATATACTATTTCCAAGTGGATATCCGTTGAACTACTTACCGTTGGTTCGAAGATACTCCGTAGAAACTACGTTGGGTGATCTATTCTCTTTGTTATCCCATAATTCCTTTCTATTGTCACGTTCCCATCTCAAAGACATTTGGTTATCGACACGAGTGTCACACTGATCGATATTCTTGTTGCCAACAAGCTTCATATTTTTCTGGTAATTATTTGCCATGAGTAGAGAACGATTTTCATAACGAATTTGTTCAAGTTCTCCTAAACGAGAAGCTATTGAAAAGGAATCACTTTTCTGAAAACTTGCGTTGTTCATAAAAGTAACGGTTCAGTGAAAGGCCCTTTTTCGAATGGTTTTCCCCCAAAAAATGGCTCTCATGAATTTTGAAAATAATGGGAAACGTTTAAAATGGACTTTACTAGTCCATATGAGAAAGCGAACTGAAAGAATATTGCAAGATGGAATTCAGACAATTTGCCAAGGTCTCTAATACATGGAATTGTACAGCTGTTTTTATTTCGAAAAGAATCTGCCTGAAAGTTTTTCCAACTCGGAACCACACTTGGGTTGTCCACAGTCAACTATTCTGCATATCCTCACAATCTGCAAGGGCTTCAACTCCAGTGAGAGGAATAATACATTTGTTTCTCAATCGTTTACGACCAGAAACCTCGACTCTATTTTTCTACTTCGGACTTGCGAGCTTGTCTTTCCATTCTTCTCATAATATCGGCAGTTTGCTGCAACCACCATTGAACATTGGGAACACGATAGTTTTGCGCTACATATACACCCACTCCGGTACCTACTGTAAAGGAAAACAATATAGGAAAGAATACTCCCATAAAACTATTTCAAGAAGAACGTACAACGGTCAATAATTTCCCCCACACAATCCAACTCCCCAATAATATCCATCACCTTGTGTAGCATATGTTATCTATTCTCCCATAATGAAAACTCTCCAACTGTAATAGGTCCATTTCAATATATCTATATTACACCACGTAGCCTTCAAAGTTACTTACTACATAAACATTCACGTTTAGGTCTGTCGATGGATTTATTATATTATGAATGGCGCCAAAAGCTCTTTGCATTTTTTCCTTGTAAGACTTTCATCTTTCCTCCCTCTTTTTTCAAGCTTTGGGCGATTTCAACCAGAATTGCAAAATTTTCTTATTCTCTGTTATGAAAACTACCAGAGACAATGTCCAGTGTTCAACAAACCGTACAAGACACTATTCGCACTAGATTACCCATATTACTTCAAACACATGACTGGGAGACAATGACCATCCGCAAATTGACTCAACTTCTTTTAACCGAAGTTGAAAAAAGCGAGGTTGAACTATTACCACTTGTTAGACAAATCGTAGTGCAGTTGTTGAAAGATGCCAACCCTTCTGTAATTCCTTTAGACCGAGTAAAGGGCTTTTTCACAGGTCTGCGCAAACCACTCAAAGTAGACAAACGATTACAAGAAATATTACAGTGTGGTTCAATTCTCCCAAGGACTCAAATTGTAAAGTATCTGAATCAGTATATCAAGAAGCATAATTTACAGGATCCAGAACAAAAGAACAAAATAGTATTGGATAATGCATTGCGTTCTTTGTTTGGAGTAGAAACTGCCACTTTTTTCAGTTTAAACAAGCTGATTAGTCCTTTCTTAACCATACCGGAAGAACAAGAACAAGAGATGGTGCATCAATATATGAAAGAACATTTGAAAGAAGCCTTGTTGGCAGCAGAAGAGTCAAAAATGAAAAGGAAACAACAAAGCAAAGTTCAGTCGTTGAACAAAGGTACCACTTCGCATCGTGGTGAGAGTTTACAGAAGCCTCTGAAACTAAGTAATCTACTTTCTCAAATATGTGGTGCTGAATATCTATCTCGGAGTCAAGTTGTCAAGAAAGTCTGGGAATATATCAAGTTACACAACTTACAAAAAGCAAGCGATAAGAGAAACATATCTTGTGATGCTTTGTTAAAACAACTGTTTGATGGAAAAGAAGAAATCAATTCTTTTCATATTTCCAAGTATTTAAGTCCTCATCTACAAAAGCTGAATGGAGACGACTGACAGAAAGAGAGAGTTTTCCATTGTCTTTTGATTTTCATAATGACACATTCTCATGGCTCTTCTTGTGGTTCATCACATGATCACTCACATGATGAACAACAAGAAACTTTAGGAGAACAATGGTCCTTATATCGTTATGTGGACTTTGATAAAGCTACTTGTTTGAATGAGTTGGAGACTGATTCCCTAAGGAATGTCTTGAGACCTTTCCACTTGAGGAACGATACAAGTCTTCCCGTTTTAACTTCTGCTGTCGATGAGCAACTACTGTTATGGATACCTTTCACTCAAATGGTGAAACTGAAAGCTTTTTCTGTTATTGGAGGGGGTCAAGACACAAGTCCTTCACAAGTGAAACTATTTACCAACAATGAGCAATTATTGGACTTTTCTTTAGTTGAAGGAGCTAATCCAGTACAGACAATACAACTGGCACAATCTACTTCAGAATGGATAGAATATCCAACAAAGTATACAAAGTTTCAAAATGTACAATCCGTAAGTTGAGACTCTTGGAGTGTACGTTTCTAATGATATTTCTTCTAGTTGATCATGTTCTTTCCAACCAACTTTGGAGCAGAACATACCGTTATCCAATATATAGGATTGAAGGGACAAGCAACCAACTTTAGAAGAGAAGCAGTCCAAACTGTTTACGAAGCTAGGCCGTTGAGTAAGGGATCCACTAGTGAAGAGTGGACCAACTTTCGAGCCATACAGTAAACTAAATTATTTCAACTTGGAAGAACGCGAAGCCTTTTCTTCTATTCCAGATTGACTTTCACGGCGGTTCAACTCTTCATAAACAGCTTGTGGAGTTATCTTACAAAATGCCCAATATACGCAAAGATGATACAACAAGTCCGCACTCTCTTTTACAAGTTGATGAGGATCATTCTCCAATCCTGCAATGACAGTCTCAACGGCTTCTTCTCCAAGTTTCTTTGCAATAGACGCTCTTCCTTGAGAAAATAAGCGACTTGTCCATGACAAAGATGGATCTGTCTGACTGCGTTGAACGACACGCTGATACAACTTTTCGATAAAATCTGTGGACAAGGCATTCTGTACTGCAACGCTCTCTTCTTCTTTCATCAAAGTAGAGTCAGGTTGCAACAACACAAAGGCATGACAAGCGATGGACAAATTCTGTCCTAAACTGTCCACTTGTTCATGTGTTTTGGCTTTCAAGTTCACTTTATCTCTCGAAAGTTTCAATAACTCACAAATATTCTCACAAATGGCGTTGTTATGGGAAGCAAGTTTAGGTCTCTCCAATATGACAGTAATATCCAAGTTGGCAATATCATAGCCTTTTTGCTTCATCAATTTCCTCGCCTCTTCCATAAATACTTTAGAAGCAACCCCTTTCCAGCGAGGTTCTTTATCTGAAAACAACTGACCAATATCCGGTAAGCCTAAACCACCGAGTATGGCATCCACTACACTATGAAATATAACGTCTCCATCCGAGTGACCGACACTACCTCGATCATGATCCAAAGTTATGCCTCCCACAATAAGTGGTAAGCCTGGTTCTAAGCGATGCAAATCAAAGCCATGTCCTATTCTGACTGAAGCAATAGGAGAGAAACAAAACCTGTGACTCGGCAACGATAGATTGTGTCTACACTTCCTTGGCAATCCAAATGAATAACGACGAGTGGGAAAGAAAACTCTATTGGTGCTTGAGTAGAAAATCTTGTTCGAGCAACGTGCAACTGAAAGAAAAGTACAAAACGACAGCAACCTGACTTGATTTCTCTTTTCCATGAAATGATTATTCATCCGATTGACGATTATTGATTGATTGTGGATGGTCTTCTTAAGTCAAGTGACAGGACCCAGTTGGTATGCTCGAAATCCAACTGGGTTGAATGGTTTACGTGCAAACAACTGTGTAATGAGTAATGGAAGCTTTTTAGGTAAACCGGTATTTTATGGACGCATGAAAAAAATGTGGGTACCTCCTGGTCTCAGACCAAAAAGACCTTCTTTTCAACAACTTGGTCGTGAAGTTTCTCTTTTAGAAGTTGACGGAGAAGATTATCTACCGTGTGACGTGAATATGTCGGGGCTATATGAATTGCCTGTAAGTGCAACTTTGTTGTCGTGAAATGGTTTTGTGAACTCTTATTTGTTGACAGAAAACTCTGGAAGTTGTAAAGTATCCAGACCCACGTCTGAGAAAGGAGAACGAAGAAGTAGACCCTTGTCACCCTAGTGTTGGTGAGATTGCACGAAAGATGTTTCAAGTTATGTATGCAGATAGAGGTGTTGGGTTGGCAGCTCCTCAAGTGGGCATCAACCAACGGCTGATGGTATATAATCCTACGGGCAAACCATCATCTTTTTTATCCCAAGTGGTGATGGTCAATCCCAAGATTGTGGACTGTTCGGATAAAAAAGTGGTGGATTTGGAAGGTTGTTTGTCGTTTCCAGGGATAGCGGGTAAAGTAAGTAGACACGAATGGGTTCGAGTAGAAGCTTTCAAACCAGGTGGTAAGAAAATCAAGCTCAAATTAGAAGGTTGGCAAGCTAGAATATTTCAACATGAATATGATCATCTGGATGGAATCCTTTTTATTGACCGAATGGAACCTGAAGAACGAGCAAGAGCTCAATTCGTGTTGGATCAGCTAGTCAACAACTACAAGGGGAATGGAATACCGCAATTGTAATAAACAGGGATATATAACAACATGCAAACTGAACATGCTTTTCCAATAGTTTCCTATGAAGATACAATCACATTTGAAAAGAAGTCATACAAGCTCTTTTCTCATGTTTCTTTCCATAACAACCTTGTCGAAAGTAGTTGATCTGAAAAGTATTCGATACCACAGAAAACCTTAACAAATAGTCTCTTCAAAAATGAAACGATTGAACTCATCAGAAATAAAAGTTGTTTCAATGTGTAATAAATTGAATCCAAAACAAAGAGAACCTAATAATGCATCTGAAGAAAAGCTATTAAAGAAAGAAAAGAAAAAAAAATTTAATTTCCTTTAAAAAAATGGAAGAAACTGCTTATGTAGTAACAGTAAATGCCTTCCTACTAATATCCCTTTTTTCTAGACTAGTAGTTGTATAACATCGTAAAAAACAATTTGTAAGAAATAGACAAAAGTAAAAGTTTTCAAACGAATCTTTGTTTAATTTGAATCAAATTATTATTTAAACAACCAAATAGTTGTGTAACATCGTAAAAAACAATTTGTAAGAAATAGACAAAAGTAAAAATTCTCAAACGTATCTTTGTTCAACTTGAATCAAATTATTATTTAAACAACCAAACAAAAATTAATATTTATTTGACAAATATAATGAAACCTGAGAGAGGAGTACACTAAAAAATTGAACTTTTCGTAGACATAGAAAACATTAAAATTTTTAAAATCGATACTATTGGAATAAATTTCTAATGCACAATAATTATGAAGAATCGCTTTCAATTATATCGCTATTAAAGGAAGAGAACAAATAAAATTATTTAATAAGAAGTTTATTTGTTTATTAAAAATCGAAAAGAAATTCAGTGTTAAGTTTTCTACATTTTGCAGGAATAAATTCCGCGAAGTCTATAGTTCGAGGTACGATTATTGGCTGCCATTCTCTTAAAGAATATATCAGTATGCAGACCTTACTTTTTACTGCTATGTCTTACCCTGTTTGATGAATAGAAAAAATGTAACCGATACAGCAAATACAGCCTTTGGCGAAAGAGTAAGATGTCTGGGTTATATATCCCACGAGTTTGCGCCCTTGCATCTTTGGAACATTGTTAATTATTTTCGACAAAGAACTTGTTCAACAAAAGCGTACCTGGGACGACTTTTTGAATGTAGAGAACAAAGACGCGTCTTGATCGCCTGGTAAAAAGAATGGTGCATAAGAGGAAACCTTGCCTTTCCCAATAAGTTCGATAAATACTGGAACAAGTGTTTCATAATCAAGGTTTCTTAAAATAGGATTTTTCCAAAGGGCATCTTCTGACCAGTAGCTACATGACTTCAAATGCTGCATCAATGAAAGCGCTTGGCTAGAATCACAATAATTTGCTATTTGGAGAAGCCTATTTTTCATAGAGTGCCAAATTGGGACTGCTTCCATCGGAGATTTTCCGATTTGATTCCACAATGGGGGAAACACTGAAAAGGGCAATTGATTCGAACCTCTCTTAGCGGGAGGTTTTTTGAACAAAGCTTCTAAATTTTCACAAGCATTCCTAACCACAATATCTTTAAAAAAAGTACTTTGTGGAAAGTCTTCAGGAAAATGCAATTTTTCACATTCGAAAAATATCTTACGATATTCTTTCAATCCTATAGCTTGTGCACCCATATGACGTGCAGCATGTAAAAAACTAGCACCAAGACCACTAGGAATAAGAATGTCCCATCTACCAATCGAATTCCCGGAACTAGATTGAAAAGGACGAGAAATGAGGACGACAGGAATTTGACAACTTTCCTTGGCAACATTAGAATTCCAAGTCTCCTCTATCATCCATCGTTCAAAATCTTCCAACCAATCGCAACTAGCGTCCTTTTGTCGTTCTGAGAAAGGACAGAAATGTGGAAATCCCATATGAAATCCCTTGAGTATATGACAACTTTGGATGTTTATCCTACTGAGACAAGTTACCGGTGTATTATCCACTTGATTCGGCATTCCATTCTCCTCTTTTCTTAGATATGACCCGTCTTCTTCTTTTATTTGAAAGCATCTACGAATCATTGCTAAACTCTTAGGTCCCAATACATGAAATCGATTCAGAGCTAGTGTCTTTCTTTTAAACACTTGTCCAAACACAGAGTAGATAAAAGTATCTCGAGCTTCATGAGAACCCAAAAATGGAATACAAACAAGCACTTTACATATCTCATTATCATTCAAACCATTCCTTGGAGCCCAAATAACTTGTAAGATGGTCGCCTCAGAGTTGTACTCGTTCCTTTCCACAAACGTATGTAAAACAGCTTTCCCCAACAGAAACTCGGGTTGTTCAACCAACTTTTTCTCTTGTTCTGTTTCCAATACTTTGAATAGTCCCTTTACAATGTTCAGTTGAGTATCTTCCAACAATATCCAATCCACCAAAGACGCATCATATATTACTACTCTGTCACGCAACGCCCGATACGCCGAACGTTCTTTACGATCCACACTACACCAAGGCACTTGATACCCAAAATATGGTATCATATGAAATCTTTTGGCAAACCAGAGATGGGTCTCCAAACGGTTCTGTCTTGAAAGGCGTGATTTCAAGTTTTCTCTCAAGTATTTCACTTTTCTTCTATATTTACGACATTTGTTCTTTCCAATACTAGGTTTATTTTCGATATCTTGTGTCTTTTTTTTCCATTTTTTGGGCAATCTACAAGTTTGATGGCTCATCGTCCTCCTCCGCAAGTGCCATGGTAAACTTTGGAAAAGTTGTTTTTTCCCTCCCAATGATTTCACTTGTTCACGAAGAAGTTTCAGTTCTTGTGCTCTTGCTGTAGCGAAGTCTACTACTCTAAATGAATTGGTTTCCATACCAAGTCCACAACTAGAAGGAGGAATGGATGGAATTGTTTGCTCCTCTTTCCATGCAGGAGAAACGAGCTTCGATGACTTGCTGAATCTGTTTCCAATCGCTCTCCAACTGCTTTATATGAGCATTGTATTCCAACTTTTCCTTTTTACAGCGACTTTTGGCATGTATCAAATAGATGATCCATTGATGTATTCTTCTTTCCAACAATACAAGGTCGTGATGATTGGCTAGTGTAGGTATATTTTCTTGATAAAAACAAACAGTTTGTCGCAAACTATCAAGAGTTGAAATGGGTTGCCAACCCAATTGTCTCACTTGATTCAACAACTGTTTACTCTTTTCGATCAATTGGTATTGGAATTGAAGGGCTTGTTGCTTGGTTTGTTGCTTCCACAACTGTAGTAACCAACCATCATTGAATAAAGAAGAGTTGGCCAGTTGGTTACCCAACTGTTGTAACAAGTGCTGATATTCTTTTTCTTCTATTTGTAACTGTTTCTCAAACTGTATATTTATGTAACGCCATTGTAAGTAACGCAACTCTAAAGATGGTATCGTATCCTCCTCCTTCTCTAAAACCATATTATCATCACACTAAGAAAATCCCAAAACCCTATTCAAATCCAAGGCGGGCCATAAATAACTCCGCTCCTTTCATCAAATCGGGAATAATCAAATAAGGCTCTGCACTGGATAATATATGGGCTTGTGAACAACTTCCAGTCAATACTCCAATTCCTTTGACTTGTGCATACTGTGCAGCTTCCATATCCTCCAATGTATCTCCTACATGATATACTTCCCAAGGTATTTCATCACCAGTTGATCCACATTGCTGCATGATTCTCTGTTTTGCTAACAATATCAACTCTCCTCTACAAATATGATCGCTTCCAAAAGCACCCGTCATAAAAAAAGGTTTCAACTGTGCCCTTTCTATTTTTTTCCATCCAATCGTTTCCAAGTTACCAGAAACTACAGCCAAATAAACACCACGTTGTTTCAACGACTCCAATAGTGTCCGTACTCCTGGCAACACAGTAACCGTTTCACTATCGGAATAGGTTTTCCTATACAAAGTGGTTCAAAGGAAATCCCAAGGCTCAAGAAAAGTTGTGTTGTGTACCTACTCAAAATGTTCAGTAGCTAATTGTACTGCGAGATTCATCTTTTGCCATATTTCTTGTTCCGTTTTGCCACACTGAAGTAACATATTTTGTATAATAATGGGGTCAGTGAGACCACCGTGTTTCACTCCTTCGACACTGGTTTGTATACCCCATACTTGAGACACTGCCCACTCTATAGAACGTTTATGTCCAGTGTTGGCATTTTTACCTCCTTTCAACAAAGTTCCATCGATATCAAAGGTTACTAGAATTCTTTTGGAAACACAACGATGACTCTTCAACATGCTCTTCTCCTCTCTTCAAGGGTCATCCCAAAAGACACACAAATAGAAGAGGCAAAGGGTCATTCTTTCTTCTCTGGAATGCTCTCATTTTCTTGATGGATTCTTCTCCTTTCCACCGAAAACTATTCAACCATATTGTTTATTTAGAAAATATTCTATCTCATTGTCCTTTTTTACTACCCATCGAAAACGATGACAGCCATCTCGTCACGACATGGGATTCCTATAGCGCCATGCCATGTTCTTCAACTCATGACTCTACCAAGTTGTTGTTGTCGCTCGATAACCATCAAAGTGGAATGAGAAGAAGAAACGATGACCAAGTTGCTCAAAACATGTCATCATCATTGACAAAATATGATTGGGATATTATCCAATCGATAGATAACAATGAGATGTTGTCTTTCACTCAAAAGGTCATGTGGAAGAATTGGTTGATTGATTTGAAAACAAGATGGAGTGATACTGTCCATCATTATATGAGTCTCATGTTGGAAGAGTTGAAACAACAACGTCGATTTCGTACCATAACGGAGGAAGAAGTACAATCATGGATACATCCGATGATGCAGACATTTGAAAATATTTGGAATATTATTCGTCAAATGATGAATGATTGGAATAGAATGAAACCCCTTACAGCAATGGTGAGACAATCAGATGTGAAGACTATACTCTTCGACTGGTTTTTACAACATGCATTCGAACCTTATCCTTCAGAAGAAGAGAAAGTAAGTGAAAACCATTGTTTATATTCACACAAGTGATTATGTCTTTCAACAAGGAATGGTTGGCCATTCAAACGGGATGGACTGCACAACAAGTGAATCATTGGTAAGTCATGAGATCATGGAGAAAATAAAGTAAAGTCTCTATTTAGGTTTATCAACACTCGAGTACGCATTTGGAGACCTATTATTGCTCAAGTTCAACAAGAAATGTCCAAACAAACGATGCCTTATCAGTTTGGTAATAAATAAGATGTGTGCAAACAAAAGCATTTTATATTTTCGCATAGCCATTGTTCATCATCGTCTTTTGTAACATGGCAACCACCTTTTCAAAAGACTGATGTACCGAAGAATAACTTTTCAAACGCTTCATCCTATCCAACCATTGACATATATGAGGATATTCGGATAACGAAAAGTAACATGCAGGAGAAGAAGAAAGATAACTATTGTTGCTTTTCGATTGGATAATATAATACAACACATGGGATGGAAGTAAGCTAGATATGAATATCATCAATACACAAACACTATACAAATATATCCAACATGAAATAGAAACTTACCGTAAATTCTCTATTTCTACAAACAAGGAAAGGTCAGCAATACTAGGCTGCTCCATGCCCTTTATGACAAAAGGTCCATTTCCGAGAATGGACTCCAAAGTGCTCAAAGACTTTTTCATTTGACCAACAGCAAACTCAACGACAGGTATGCTCACCGACTGAGGTTGATTCATAAATCTAACAAGTGATGAGATACGACGATGAGAGATCTCACTTCTACTTACTTGGCTACCATAACTGCATTCCAAACTGTCAACTTGGTACTCCATGATAAGCTAGAGTGGTGCCAATCCAACAGTTCTAATTATTTCAGTAACTATACTTTATCCACACTTTGCAACCCTTACCATCTATCTTTGCTCTCTTTTGAGGATCTGAAGGATACCAGTGTTCTTGTATCATACTGGCACGAGTACGAAAAAGATATTTCAAAATAGCATGACTTTCAGCTAAAAAGAAACCATCTCCGTCTTGAATGGCAGGGACTTTTTGGAAAGGATTGATGGATTGGTATTCAGGTTTCCTACAAAAGTGAGCACGGTGTCAAGAGACCATTTCAAATACTTACAAGTGGTCCTTTTCAAACAATTTGATACGGTGTATTTTATGTGGTATGCCATTTTCTAAAAGAAACATAAGAACTGCTCTACAAGGAGGAGAGCCAGGTTCATAATACAACGTGAGTGCGTCGAAATTCATAACTTGTCCATTTCTTCTTCCCCTTTTGAAACCGAGTCTTTTATCATGAATGAAAATTTCCCTGAGAGACTTGATCAGGTTGTAACTGAGAAAATAAACCAAAATAATCGACACAAGAATTGGCTCCATTAGGGTTTTCAGATATTTGGAAAGTAGTTTTGCTCGTACGTTTACAGAAAAGAGTGTGAAAACAAACGTCAGCAACATCTTGTCTGCTAATAGTTCCAGTCAGTCGACCTCCTCCTTGTTGATCAATACATAAATAGTTACAACCTTTACCTTTTCCATCATACATTGCACAAGGACGAACGATGGTGTATCGAAGAGTGGATGAACGAATGACTTGCTCAGCGCGATATTTGCAGGATAAAAGATACTCCATCTGTGACTTGGCAGGTAGAGAAGAAGGCAACGACATATGATGGGTTAAATGACTTACTAATGCAGCACTCAAGTATACAAACTGTGGAGTTTTAGTACCCAATTCATTATGGCGATAGGCATAGATATCTTTCAATTCTAGAGAAAATGGTCCTTCTTGAAAACTGGGATTCAACTTTTCATCATATTCAAATTTCGAATACATCAACTGAAAGGAATAAATGGTAGTGGGATCCAAAGGTGATATCGGAGTTATGGTTTTCGCACGAAAAACTGGACGAAATTGAGAAAATGGTAAATAGCATTCCTTCCATATTGAAGCAACAGTATCCATTGAACAAATATAGGCAATGCCATCCCACTTTTTATCACACCGAATAATAAATTTGTAACGCCTTCCATCACCCAATAGACGTAAATAGATTCCATCATAGCCACTCAAATCGAGTGGAGTTTCAAAAGGAATGGTCTTGACACTTGCAAAACCACCAAAGTTATCTGTAGACACCTGTCCACTAAATATGACAGAATCTCCACTTGAAGACAATTCTATTTTGCTTTGACTTACACCTCCCATAACTACATCATCTACAGGACCCCATAACCGAGGAATATTTGATGCTGGAGGACGAAAAGGGAATATATCAAGATATTCCACATCCTGTTTCTCTACAGGCACTGCATCTTCCAAATATTGTTGCGCAAAACTAACGAGATTCTTTACTCCTTCGTATTCTACTAGCTCTGTATAAAGTTTCCACTCTGCATTTGAATCAACAGAACTCATGGCATTGGGAGCAGAGCTAGTTGAAAAAGTATTGGGTTGTAGGGCAACACCCATTACACAAAAGACTGCATAAACAAGACGAAAATGTTCAGGAACAAGACTATGTAGATCACCAGTTATCAACTCCAACTTGTCGACTTGTGCACCTTCTTCTTTTAGAATAGCAATAGCTCGATTTTCATCTCTTACCAAGGCTCGAACTTTACAACCACTGTGTTGTAACTTGACTATCAATTGACGACCTACACGACCTGTTGCACCAATGACAAGTACAACTCTTCCAGATAAAGGTGACATATCTTTCTCTAAACGGGTCAATAATTGGAGTCGAAGAGAGCGTACTCGAACACCAGGATCGGGTAGGCTTCCACTAACGGCAACTTCTTGTGAAAAAGCTCGGGCAATTGGGTTGAAAAACAGAAAAGTTTTCACAAAACGACCAAAAGGCCAAGGCTTTCGTGTAGTTTTCTTTTTGGTACCTTGTTTCTCTTCAGAGAAAATGATAACAGTGCAACGAGAACTTGGAACTCTTTTGTGCGAGTGTATACAAGTAACAAGCCATGAAGAATGCACAAAGTTCGACATGTATCTCAAAAATAAAATGGATGGGGAGGTGATGAAGAACCTCACTTCCACAAAGTAGTCATCAACAAATGCTTTTTCTTTATGGACTAAAATCGGTATCTTCCTCGTCATCAACCTGATATTCACTATCGTGGTCTTCTTCTTCAGAGTCACTCACTACATAAACAGGGACTCTCTTGGACAACAAATCAGACTGTAACTTTCTCGTATGTCGAGTCTGGCTAGCTTCCTTTGCTTCGTTGTTGAATAACGACGACTGTTGCTGTGCTTGTGTATTCTCAACGCTTTTGTTGCTTGATTTTTGTGTTTCTTTTTTGGCCTGTGACTTTGTATTCTTCGACTGATTCGTAAAGGTGGTTGCTTTGGATGTTGTTATATTTTCTCGAGTTGACTTATGCAACGGCCGCAATTGCTTTGTTTTTTCTTTTCCTTGTTTTGTATGTAAGAATTGGTGGTTACCCAGTTGTATATTAGTTTCCAACCTTTTCCGTAAGCTTTCCACTTCCGCATCTTCCGTATCATTGATAGGTGGATTCTTGTACTTGAAGGGAGACGTAACTTTTGTTTGAGACATCGAAATATCCATGTCGTCCTGCCGGCCTCCTACCCAACTTATTCCTAGCGTGTCTTCTGAGACTTTTGGATAGGTGACGCTCAACTTTGAATTTTTGCTCTGTTTCTTGGCTTGTGAAGCTTTTCTCGAGGAAGGTGGAGGAATTTCTTCCAAGTTTTTATCATCTTGTTCCGCGTTGGCAAGTAGAGACTGCATCAAAATATTCTTTTTGCCTTTAAGCTTCGTTTTTTGTTGTTTCTTTGCTTCCATTGCTGCCTGTTTCAAAGACAATGACTCTTCTTCTTCCCAACTTAAGCTTTCATCCAATATTTGCTCCAGTTTCTCTAGGTCCTGTAACCAAAGGTCTGATGGCGCGGTTTGCTCCAATCTTTTCATTTCTTCTATCTTCTTATCTCGTTCTTCGGTAAGTTTGGTGATTCTTTCTTGGGTAAGACTCCAAATGGGCATAGATAGCAAATAGTCATAGCCACTGCCAGTTTCACTATCATTTTCTTTTTCCTCTTCTTCGTCTTTGTTGTCCGAGACAGTATTATTGTTGTAAATTTTCTTAAAATGATGCTTGGTCAATGTGACAATGAGGTCTTTTCTTTTCACATTGGCTACTTTGATTTCGCCTTGAATAACTTGGAGAATAAAGCGAACACGATTTTCTAGTTTCTCAACCTGAACTGTGAGTTCTTGAAGAAGATACTGCTTGCGGGATTCATATAGCCGTAGGCGAATATGGAAGAATTCTTTCAACATATCGATGGGATCGTCGTATTTCTGAATCTTACCTTCTGCATTGAATAAGACCATATTGGAAGTTGATAGAGTTGAGCCCAATTTGAATTTTTTGTGAAAGCCTTGTGTTTCACATTGTTTATAGGCTTCTTCATGTAAGTTGATGAGAAAGTCGACCAACCTTTCCGTACTTCTGTCGAACAATTCTTTTATAAAACTTGTTTCTCCAGATTTATGTTGTTCTGAAGACAACATGATGCTTTCTAACCATTCTTTATAGGGCGTCGTCCATGTCTTCAATGGAAGCTCAGTTATGCGGACCAAATGATCACGCACTCGATATACTTTTCCATAAATATCATAAGTACTAGAACCCGAGAAACAAATGGATCCACGGAAGCCTCTATACCAAGGATGCATTGTATGAGGCTCGTGTCCATGAATAAGTCGACGAATATTTTCAATGACATCTTTTGGGTTGTAACAAGGAACGTTAGTAGACCATCCAGTACCGATACCTTCAGCACCGTTCACTAAAACGAGAGGAATAATAGGACAATAATAATTGGGTTCAATCGATAGTCCATCTTCTTCTAAATAGTGAAGTACGGCATCATCTGCTTCTGGAAAGAGATAACGTGTAATGGGAGCAAGTCTGGTAAATATATAACGAGCAGAAGCAGCGTCTTTTCCGCCTTGTAAACGAGTACCAAACTGACCGGAAGGAACCAAAAGATTGATATTACACGCACCTACAAAATTTTGTGCCAATCCTACAATCGTTGCCATGAGAGACATTTCTCCATGATGATAAGCTGCATTTTCTGCTATATAACCGGCCAATTGCGCAACTTTGATATCTCTCGTCAACTTCTTTTTAAAGCAGCCAAATAAAACTTTACGTTGACTAGGTTTCAAACCATCAATAACCGAGGGTATAGAGCGAGCATTATCAGAAAGTGAAAATAAAATAAGTTCTTTGTTGACAAAATTCGAATAAGTAAGATCATCCGCGATATGGTCAAAGTATGTATCAGGATCAACATCAGCCAGCCATTCCTTTCGTTCTTGCACTCGCTGCTTCGAGAATGCCATGTCGATAGCAACCATATCGTGTTCTCCAGACCATATAAAATCAATAACATGAAGATCTAAATGAGAAAAGTATTCTTTTGCTTCCGCAGCAGTTGAAGTACCAAGACCTTTATAATACTTGATGGTCCAACCCTTTAAGGTTTCCTGCTCTAAAGACGTCCTCCAAGTTTTGTATTCTGGTATAGTAAAAAAGGTGACAACTTGATTTCCTTTGGAAGCCTTGACAATCGGAGTAATGAATTCTTGAAGGAAGCCCTTCACTTCTAACAAACTCGGCCAGAAGTGATGGAAAAAATTGATAAGCAAACCCTGCAATCAATATTAATGAAAAATATTCGAAACAATAAATGATAAGCTACCTTGATATGACTTCCATCATTATCCTGATCCGTCATGATCAACACATGACCATATCGTAGAGTCTTTATAGTTTCATCGTCATATACTTTCCCATGTTGTAAACCCAATATCTTCTTCAAATTGTTAATTTCGGCATTTTCCTAAGTCGATATGAATTCTTTTTCATTCATAAACGTTTCTGTACTCTACCATTATTTGCTTGTGAGAAGCTTCTCTTACATTCAACAACTTGCCTCGTAGCGGAAAAACACCATAGTAGTCACGACCTACTACTGATAAACCCGAAACTGCCAGTGCTTTCGCAGAATCTCCTTCTGTCAGAATCAAAGTACAGTAAAAGGATTCCTTTGTTCCAGCATAATTCGCATCATCCAACTTTGGTATACCTAAAATCTTCTTCGCTTTGCCTCCATCAGTCTTCTTCAACTCTGAAGTCTGCTTCATTTTTGCAAAGGAAAGAACATTTTCCAGTATGCTAGATTTCATAACTTTCTTCATAAACTCCTCAGATAAGGGACAAGATGAACCAAAAGTGTTGGGTCGCGAAGTCATGTTTTCTTTGGTCTGCGAATCAAAGGCTGGATTTTCAATGAGGCACTTGACGAACACCCAGAGATGATTCTTGATTTGAAAAGGTTTCAGTTTTAAGCCTTTATGCTTCTTTTCAATATGTTCATTCACTTTGGAAATAATTTGATCCACAATATGATTGACATGCGTGCCACCTTTCATTGTCCAAATTGAGTTTACAAAGCTGACTTGAGTAAACTGTCCTTCACTGACGGACAACATCACCTCCCATCTAGATCCATTACACTCATAAATGCGAGGCACATCAGCCTTATCTATCAAATAGAGTTCACAATAGTCACGGAATGACTTGATAGGAAGATGTTCCCCATTGAAATAAACCTTGACTGTGGGATTGCAACCGGCTACATCGAATACTCTCTTCTGAAACAAGGCTAAAATATCTTCGTCTAAATGAGTCATGGAGAATTTTTCCAAGTCTGGAACAAAAGTGATTTTCGTCCAGTCATCTTTCTTATTAGACATTATCTTGGGATCTTTTCTACTGGACATGTTATTACTAAACTCTTGACGGTATGTCAGCCCTCTCTGGGAGTCTGCAGTCTCCACAATAAATGACTTGGAAAAAATATTGGTCAACTTTGCACCATAACCATTTCTTCCTCCTACAACTTTCTTTTCACTGTCATCATAGTTGGATGATGTGAGAAGATGGCCAAAAATCATTTCTGGAACATAGATATTTTCTTTTTTGTGTATCTGCAATAGACAATGTTGGAAGCAATTTTCCTGTTTTACATACATCTCTTACCTCTACGGGGATGCCCTTCCCATTGTTATATATGGATATTTTGTTATCCTCCTTGTGAATATCAACACGAATCGTATTCATGGAAGGGTCACGTTGCTTATGATCAGCTGCATTGACTAAGATTTCATCAAAAATTTTGTACAGCGCAGGGACGAATGATACTTCACGAAAGCTCATCCGTTGGTCTTTTCTATCGTATACCCATAAGGTTTGAGTTGTCCGTTCCACCGAGCCTCGACGGAAGAGTAAGTAAGAAAAAAGACTTTTCTTGTATTGACATACCAATATATGTATCTGGTCGCAACAATACATGCTCTCTTGGAGTCAGCTTTTGGTATGTGTCCTCCACCGTCTTGTAAGAGCTCGTTGCGTCCATTTCGTTGTTTCTGTTGGCACCAAAAAGGAAATGTCAAAACCCAATTTTGAATGAACAAATTTGAATAGCAATTGGGCGCGCAATCAACCGTTTTGGATTTTTTTCCTCCTTCCCTCTCTCTTCTAATCTTTCCTATTCTTGAAAAGTTCGATATTGAATGTATACGCCTTCTAAAAGTCCCAAAGTGAAGGGTCCACAATACTCTTTTCCTATTCTCAATGCTGAAGAAATAGTACAGTGCTTGAAGGAACTTCAAATTCCGTTTTCCGAAGAACAACTGAAGAAACCTACCTCGGAAGGCATTCGAGCAACTTATGAACAGATTTTGGAACTTCTTCTTGGAATATCACGAGACGAGTTACAACAACCGGTTTTTCAAGCGCTCGATGTGTTATCTTACCCTGAACTTCACGAATACTCGGTAGGACAGCTGAACTTTCACCGAAATTTGCAAAAGCTATTAGAAGCTTGTGGTTATCACGAATTTTCTATGAAAGACTATTTAAAACCTGAGTACGCTAGAACAAAGAAAATATTAAGTGCTATAATAAACTTTGCCAAATTCCGGGAAGAGCGGTTGGTGACTTTTCTGGAATTACAAGGACGCTCAGAAGAGATAACAACGAGAAAGCAACAAACAGAAGAAGAGTTGAACGAATTGAGGGAAAAAGTGAAGAAATTGAGGTAAGTAATAACGTTTGTTGGTTACAAAAACGGTATCGAGTCCTTTGGATAGATGTGAAGACGAGGAGATGGCACCTTACGCCCAATCTTTACAAGAGCAAGCCGAAGAATTGGTGGGGGACATTGCCCAATATAACAAATCTCAAGCTTCTCTTCAGAAGCAAATCAAAGAAATGAAAGCAGAAGTTGCATCAAGAAGCGATAAAATATCTAGTACTAAATTTAATATTTTAAATGAAAAGCAAGAGTGTAATAAGTTGCAAGAAATGGTAGTACCTAGTCCTGAAAAGGCTAAGAAGGAGATTGAAGATATGAGTGAACAACTGGAGAATGACAAGCAGACCACTCAAAGTATAGAAAGGAGAACCAAGGATCTCAAGTTAAGAATCAGCGGCTTGGAAGATTGTGAAAGGGAACTTCGACAAACGTTCAAGTTGATGCAAGAATGCGAAGAGCAAATGAATGAATGGCGGATACTTCAAGATGGGTTATCTGAGAAGAGACAACGGATAGTTGACTACGAAGAAGAGTTGAAACGACTGAAATCTTCCGAGTCGCATTATCGGAGACAGTTGTCCAATGTTGAAGAGCGAATATCACGACTACAGATGCAAGCTGAAGAGAAGAAGCGATATGCAGATGAATCCTATGATCAAGTTTGTCAAGATCGTTCTGAAGTAAATAGAGAAAGGGAAGAAGTTGAAAGACGCATTGATAGAACCAACGTACTTATTCAAACCACCAAAGACAAAATACAAGAAATGCTGAATGAACACGAAAGGGAAGTGGACAAAGTGCGAGAAAAGTATCGTACATTAGAAGCGAGCGTGGTGAAGTATCATCGTGAACTTTTCTCTGTGATGCAGTCATTATCATCTTATCAAGGCAAATTCGAAGTTTCTACGAATTGGTAAAACTTGTGTAAGGATAACAAATCCCTCCATATAGTATCCGATGTTGACATAGTAAATAGATATCCCATTGTTTCTACTGTTTGTAGAGGAATACAATTTGACTCTTTTATAGCAATCCGTTCTCTGAACCTCCAATCGATGGAATATCGAGCATTCTCATTCGAACCCCACAAAAAACCACACTTTATTGGTTTCCAAATGTTCTTAAGCATCATCCAAAGCAGCGACACCTGGAAGAACACGACCCTCGATCAACTCCAAAGAAGCACCTCCTCCTGTGGAGATATGAGACATTTTATCAGCCAAGTTTGCTTTTTCAACTGCTGCAACCGAGTCTCCACCTCCAATAATAGTTATTGCGCCTTGTTCTGTTAACTTTGCTAATATTCGAGCAACTTGAAAGGTCCCTCTAGCAAAATTTTCCATTTCAAAAACTCCCATAGGTCCATTCCATAGTATGGTTTTACATTTGGCAAGAGCTGACTCGATCATTTCTATAGTAGCCGGACCAATATCCAGTCCCATCCAACCTTCCTCAATTTGAGAGAAAGACACTGTTTTGACATTTGCATGGTTATCAAATTTGTCTGCAACAAGTAGGTCAAGTGGAAATATAAGTTCCACCTTTTTTTGTGCCGCCATTTGTTCTATTTCTTTTGCCAAATACAACTTGTCTTCTTCTACCAAAGAAGAACCTACTGATAGTCCTCTTGCTTTTAGAAAAGTGAAAACCATACCACCTCCAATAATAATTACGTCACACTTTTCGATAAGTGATTTTAAAACACCAATTTTGGAAGATACTTTGGAACCTCCGATGATAGCAGCAAATGGTCTCTCAGGATTTTGTATAGCATTCTGTAAGTATTCCAATTCCTTTTCCAACAGGAAACCAGCGACTGCTGGACGAATGAACTGTGTGACTCCTTCTGTGGAAGCGTGCGCTCGATGTGCTGAACCAAAAGCATCGTTGACGTAAAGATCCATATTCATGCTCAGTTTGCGACTGAAATCCGGATCATTGTCAGTTTCTTCGGTGTAAAAACGAACGTTTTCCAACAGAATGATATCTCCATCATTCATAGCAAGAACCATATTATTTACTTGGTCACCAATACAATCAGGAGCCATTCTGACACTCTTTCCGAGTAACTGACCGAGTCTTTCTGCCACTGGAGCTAAAGAGTAGCGATCTTCAAAACCACCCTTTGGTCTTCCGAGATGAGAAGATAAGATGACTTTTGCTCCGTGATTTATTAGATACTGAATAGTAGGAAGAGATGCCTTAATTCGGGTATCATCCGTGATACTTTTACCATCTAGCGGCACATTCAGATCACATCTGACCAGAACCCTTTTACCCTTGAGATCTGCTGCAGAAAGATCCTTTAAAGATTTCTTTTTGCTAGAAGTTGCAGTAGTCATATGAAGATTCAGTATGTTACTTTGAAACTTGTTAGCCTTGGGTGGAAAGAAAGATGACCATGTCTTGTTTGTAGTTGTTGGATTGTAAACAAGTGTTTTACCATTGAAATAGGAAACATGTTTCCAACGGTTATAAGAGCAGATATGGAACCGAAAACTACAAGTTACGAACAACAAGTGCATAAAAGGAAAAGTTCCCAATTCTCCAAAATGCAACTGTTTAGTCGATCTCCGAGGCATTCCTTTTTTTTGTGGTGAGAAAACATCGATGCCTGTTTTGAACTATTGTGTGCAAGTTTTTCGTTATGATATTATATTCTCTATGAAATGGAGATTATCTGCCAACGACGTTCACTCCTATTTTCCTTTTGACGCATACAATATTCTATAAATACAAGTATATATCTAAGTTTGTGTTTCACTTTTCCCCAAACCAGCTTTCTACTGAACAAAAGTTTAATCCTTAAAAGACCTTTATTGAGCTTCTCTTGCTCGCAACCTGGCACGTGCGTTGGTAACTTTAATGTTCAACTCTGCGGCTCGTTCCAGAATTTCCTTTCTCTTCTTGGCCGACACTCCGTGGGCTATTTCAGCTGCATACTTTCGATTCAGCATAAGAAGAGCTTCCAATTCTTTCACGTTGTTGACCAAGAACTTGTAGAAACCATTTGGCAACAAATATCTCGTCCTTTTGTCCGATCCATACCCAATATTGGGCATCAAAGTGGAGCCTTTAAACCGTCTACGTACTCTGCAGTCTATACCCTTTGGTTTTCTCCAGTTTTCTTTGACCCTTTTAAACCTATCCGACTGAAAACGCTTGAACTTTTTGGTTCTCTTTTTCAAAGACTTGCGACGAATCAAAGGAGTCGGCATTTTCCAATTGCCAATAACAACAATCGACGACGCGTAGAGAATCCCGTTTTAGGGATTTACAAGAGACTCGAGAGTTTTAGGAAGTTCTCCAACAAACATAATACAATGTGTCTATTTGGTCTTTAGGAATACCTCCAAATAGGAATCCATGCTTTTTCCACCACAATGCTCTATTAACTAATTGTTTCCATTCTTCCTCACCCTAGAACCATTCTCAATATACAAGACAAGGCACTCTTATAGATACGAACCAGCTTTCTGTATGTTTCCATATTCCACAATTCTTTCTTGTCGTTTTCTACCTCAGCCAAAGAGTCCAAATGTTGTGAGTTATCTCGTAAGTTTGCTACATTTCACAAGTTAGCCAAGTCTCTTGTATAATACAATGAGCATGTACCGGTCCATCCAACCATCCCATCTGAAACATTCTCTAAAGTATTTGCTTGTTCATCAAACAACGACTTGTGTTGGAAATCAACCATATATTCGGATTCCTCATCAACTCCAGCTATGATGAAGAGGTTAGTTGGTAGTTGAAAACGAAAACTTTACAACCTTCACAAAGTTGTTCATACAACGCTGCCTTTTTCTCCAAACTATTTGTCACGTCCACTGCCATAGCATTAATATCTTTGGCTGCTCTTTGTTCGACACCTGGGTTTTTGGTTTCGTCCCATTTTCTTCTTCTAGTACGACGTTTCCAACGAAATTTGGAAGCTTCCTCTTCCTTATAGAGTGCTGCTCTTAATCCGAACAAGGAACGACCAGAAACTTTGTTAATATAGTGCCGTTTTTTAGGTAAAACGGAAGAACCTGTTAACCAACCCAAATCCGTAGAAGACATTTGAGAAAAAGAAATTTTTCAAGATATTTCATCGTTATTGAATAGATAGATCAAGAAGATGATCACATTGACAGTAGAAAAAGCAACTTGATATTTATATGTATGAATATGTGTATGTGTATTATAGCGTCCAATTTAAAAAGACGGTACTAGAATACAAATCTTGTCATACACGAGAACTGTCAACTTTCAACTTTTAGGAGCACTTAACATGGCTCGAATAAAACTAGATGCAAGAGTCATCATACCAATCACTCGTGAATAGTCAACAAACATACCAATAGAGATAAGTAACAAAGGTTAAAAGGAAAAATCCCATTTTCAGTTCATAATATCTTTGTACCTGCGCTGCTATACGAAAAACCCTTGTGTTATCCAACAAGTGTTCATTGCGTACATATTTCTGAATATGAAACGCTATCAAAGGAGTATTTAGTAATCCAACAAACCAATGGCCACCCAAAAATAGAAGCAAAGTCAAGAAAAAGTGAATACCAAACCTGAATAGATGGCCATTCTCGTATGTGGGTATCGTTACCTAACTAGCTAAAACAAGGAACCATACTTACTCGGGATAAATAAGAAAGTTGACCTTGTCACATAACTCCACAGGATTCAAGTGATCCATGAGTAGATCTGAGAATAGAATGAGACTATAAATGTCCATGAATAATAAAACAGCAGTTATAAGAAACACAATAATCCAGTAGGCTACTTCAAGACCCAATCCCATATTATCAAGGCAACTATACTATGTTTCTTTCCTCTTTCCCTCCCAACACACACTTTGGCATGCGATGTCCAAAAAGAAAACAAAAGATGGGAGAAAAGGATTTCTAAAGCTTTCCAATTTAGACACAATGAAGAACTTGCTCAACTAAAATAGAGACTTTGTTATTTTTCACTTTCAAGAATACTAATCAAATGATCTTCCAGGAAAGTGGCTTTCAAGAAGAATAGAGATTCGTAACAAAATGACTCGATTCATTTGCTTTCAATAGCTTATTCTAAAACATTTTTAAGTGAAAGCTTCAAAAGGACTACTCATATCATAAGAAAACTTTGAGCAATCAACCAAAGGAGAGAAGCTCTAAAGAAATGACAAGTAACATTATTTCTTAATCAGAGGCATTGATGAATATATCTCAATCTCTTTCAACTAATCTTATATATTGCGTGTCAAATCTTTATTCTCCACATTGCATCTTCTTTATATTGAAAAAAAAGAGTAGGCGATTACTATGCAACACAGGCTTCTTTGGAACTGAATTCCTTAGAGAGAACAAGGGACATACATTTTCAACTTACTTTGCAACTCTCATGACTCTCAATATGAGTATGTAAGGCTTGGAAGGAATCTTCAACTTGAATGAAAGCATCTTCAAAGATATCTTTCAATCACTTGTAATAAAACCTCTGATCCATTTTGTTCCGATCAATTGACTCATTGTAAATGAGAGAAAGAGAGATTATAGAAACTCCTTCCTATTGATCGTTTGAATAAGTCATCACCAATTGTGAGACCATTGCCACTTCACTGAATTTTTCTATATGACTTCTTTACAGCGCTAATTTGTATCGTTTTATATGTTGAAAGGAGAAGGACACGATTGGTTATTCCAAAGTAGATAAAACTCTCTTGTAATTTCTAGTGAATAGAATAACATGGCTCCATCATTTACATTTCATAAGGATGATCGAGTAACTATTGTGTGACGTGGTTGAGCTTTCTACTTTTTGATGCAAAGAATAAGTGGTATTCCAAAGCGTCTATTCTCAGTATCTATGGAGAAGACGCCTGCTTTACTTCGAGTGTCCGAAATTTTTGCTTCTGTTCAAGGAGAAGGACCTTTTGTTGGTAGACCCAGCGTGTTTCTTCGACTAGCATTGTGCAACTTGCAGTGTGCTTATTGTGATACCAAATATACAGTAAGTAGTGGGGAGACATATATATATATCCATATATATTTTGTGAACTTGTCGTAGTGGCTATTTGAAGAAGAGAAACAACAACAAGTATTGACACGTATACGTGAGAAGCAGAGAGATAAATTTGACTTGAAGGTTTACCAGAAATCTTCTGAAGTTCGGAACTTGTCCATACCTGATGTTGCCAAAACGGTGTTGAATTTATCACAAGGTCGTATTCGTGCTATGGTATTGACAGGAGGAGAACCTCTTATACAGCGAGCTGCATTGTCGTCGTTATTAAAGTCCATATTAAGTGAAGGTTATCACGTAGAGATTGAAACCAACGGAACTATAAGGCCAGAAAGACTTCCCGTAGAAGGTATTCGTTTCAACGTGAGTCCAAAACTGAGCAATTCGTTTCAGCCGTTTGAAAAACGTATTCACCGCCAAGTCCTACAAGAGTTCTTGAACAGAGACGCCATATTTAAGGTAAGTTTCCAGTTTGTTCGTTTGAGTTGCTATACATAAGGTTTTTTAGTTTGTTATTACTCAAGAAAAGGATATCACAGAAGTG